GGTGTACTTCCTCAGGATGCTGCTGGTGCTGGCCGTCGTCCCCACGACGATTCGGCCGCGCCGCAGACGGGCGAGCACGACCCGTGCTCCCACACGCCCGACGTTACCGAGGACGAGGACGGGTAGGCGGCGGAGCAGTCGCACGACCTGGGAGGCCCATCGTGCTGGTCGCGACGGCGACCGCGCGAGCGGCTCTGGGCGGCGACGGCGGGCCCCACGCGGAGACGGACGATCGTTTCGCAGGCGCCAGCGCGCCGGAAGCGCTGCCATCGGGGCGCAGCCGTTCCGCGGGCTGCTCTTCACCACCCTGATGCTCCCGACGTGCGCCTGGGCTCCGCGGCGGATGTGGCTCGCGCCATGGAGGTGGGCGACGCCTCCTTGCCCAAGCGCGCGCCCCTCCGATTCGACGCCACCCACTTCGTCCCCAGCCTCGGCGTCGCCACCGCGAACGACGCGCCTGACGGCGAGGCGGAGGAGAGCGGCCCTCGGGCGCCTGTGGGAGATCTCCATCGCCCTCGCTGCGCGCGGCAGGCGCCCGAGTGGCGCGGCAGGGGGCGAGGTTGGAGTTCCTCCTCGGCGAGTCCCTCGCGCAGCAGTTCTCAGGGGGCAGCTTGACGCATGGCGTCCTGACAACCTCCATTTGCACCCTGGTGCGCCCTCCTGATTCTCCCGAGCATCCTCCTCCCCCTCCTTCTACTGCTCCTCCTCCTCCCCCTCCTCCTCGTTGACCTCCCCTTCCTCCTCCTCATCATCATCGTCTTCTTCTTCTTCCTCCTCCTCCACCTCCACCTCCTCCTCCTCCTCCTCCTCCTCCTCCTCCTCCTCCTCCTCCTCCTCCTCCTCCTCTTCCTTCTCCCGCTCCGCGGCGCATCCGCTGCTGCGCCACGGTGCCCCCTCGCCCGGGTCGAGGGTGTCGAGGTTTCGATGGTCGAGGAGCAAGGTTCGCAGGGGCAAACATGAGGGGGGATAGTTCAGGAGAGAGTGCGTCGACCCCGAATGGAGTAACAGCAAACGCCATGCGCACGCGCTCACACACACGCACACACTTTGTTTGGGGCCAGCGCGCCGAGCTGGCCTCGGAGACACCGCCATTGAGTTGAGTTCCAGCGCCGGCCCAGGAAATTCGAGCGGACCTCCGACGGTTCATGTTTGAGTCACCTATTCCTTGAACCAAGTGCCCACTCATTGTCGACAAGGGCCCGACAACCCACTCCGCCCAGGAACGCTCAGATTCGCCGTCGGGGGCCTGTCGCCGATCCATCGGCAACGCGTCGCCGATTCCAGGTCGATGTTCCCCCCCCTGTGTTCGTTTGGGCGAGACAAACTCGTGGCGGCCAGTTGTTTTGCCGATGCTTGGCGCTTCCAGGGTCGCCGCGGACAAGCTGTGGCGCTGGATCGTTGGGCGGCGGGGGGGGGGGGCGTGGCGCTATGCCCGCCGCTCCCGCTTGGCTATGTTCGGGAACAGGGCCGCGGCGGCACGGACGTGACACCTGCAGCTAATGCAGACGAGCCAGCGGGGCATGTTGAGCGTGCCTGTTTGGTTGTGGAGGGCGAGGGAGGAGGATCAGGAGGAGGAGGAGGAGAAGATGGACTGCGAGGAGTAAAGTGAGGAGGTGGTGGAGAAAGAAGGGGAGGAGGAGGAGGAGGAGGAGGAGGAGGAGGAGGAGGAGGAGGAGGAGGAGGAGGAGCTGGAGCAGAAGCAGAAGCAGAAACAACAGCAGGAGGAGGAGGAGGAGGAGCAGGAGGAGGAGGAGGAGGAGGAGAAGGCGGCGGCGGCGGCGGCGGACGAGGAGTCAGTAGAGAGGAGGAAAACAACGATGCGGGGGAGACGGATCGGTGCGGGTGCCGTTGCACCAACGGCGACCTGCCCGACCCGGGTCAGCCCGTCCCCGAGCTTTCCGGAGATTTGGCGCCGTATTTTGTTTTTTGTTGCTGTCGCAGCGTGGCTCACCAGAGGCCTGGACTGAAGGGGCCGATGTTCCACCACCGCTACCATAGGTCGGACGGGGGAAAAGGGAGGAGGAGGAGGTCCTCTTCCTCCTCCTCCTCCTCCTCCTGGTCCTTTTCCTCCTCCACCCTCTCATACCTACGGTAGTGGTGGTGGGAAAACGGCCCATCATGGACCTTTTTTCCCAGGGACCTTCTCAATCCCGAGTCGTCTTTCGACGGTTCCGGGGCCTGGCGAGGGCCTCCGGAGGCCGAAGACGGCCCGCGGTTCCTCGTCGTGTTTTTTTTTCCTCACGGCGCAAGTTTTCCGTCCGATGACGGCCAGCGGTTCTTCCTCCCGTGCTAGGCCTGGGACGAGTGATTGACATTTGTCGCTAGTACATCCATCGTCGAAAACTGGCCGGGTCCAGCATAATCCCGCTTCAGATCCCATGCAATCTGGTTTAATCCCGCTCAATATTGTTGAGTGCAGGGTTAATTTTGGCTAGTTCGGCTCAGTTGCCCCTGAAGTCGCTCTCACGATGGCCTCCCAGCATTTGCCTCAAAATCCACAGGAGCAAACATGCGCCACCATCACCCTCCTGCTCGGTTCTTGATCCTCGATTGACGACGGCGGTCGAAGCCGCCTTACGTTCGATACTCCTCCTCCTCAGCCTACTCCCCCTCCTCCTCCTCGAGCTTCGATCCTCATTTCTCGAAGCTTGGATCCTCGAAGCTTGGATCCTCAATCCTCGATCTTGCCCTGCCTGGTCGACCCGTGATCCCCCCCCAGGAGCAGATAATGCACCACCATCATGGTCAACACCCCGATGATATCCTCGATGCCCTCGACTCCTCGATTCTCTCGAGAGCCTCGTGATCCTCGCACGGTTGTGCCTTCGATATTCCCCACCCCCCAGGAGCAGCCCTACGCCACCATCACGGCCGACCCACCGATGCTTTATTATATATATATATATATATATATATATATATTGGATCTGTCTATACACACATCTATATATATGTATATATATATATGTATATATACATGTATATATGTATTTCTGTATAAGTATGTATCCGTGACAGCCTCGAGGCCTCCGAGGCTCTCGAGATCCTCGCACCGTCTTGGGGGGGTGCCCTGGATACATAAGTATCACCCCCAGGAGCAGATCTGCACCACCATCATGGCCAACGCCTCCAGCCTTCTGAGCACGCTGCAGGTGCTGGAGGACTCCTCTGTGGGGGCCTCCTCACCTCGCTGGCCCCGCGCTGGCCGCTCCTCTCTCTGGACGACGACGACGATCTCGACGACGACGACGACGACGACGATCTCGACGACGGCGACGATCTCGACGACGACGATCTCGACGACGACGGCGGCGACAACGACGATCTCTTCGACGACGGAAGATCTGACCCTGTTTGGGGTCTTCGCGAGGAGAGCCTCGGCCTCCCTCGGGCGTGTGCATTACTGTGTGTCTCGGCGAGAACCCTCGAGGAGCATCCTGGAGCAGCTGCCGACAAAAAAACACGCACGCACGCACGCAAGAAGGCGCACCTAGACGGCGCCTCGGCAGGAACCATGGCAGTATAGAAGGCCAAGGAAAGCTCGTGCAGAGGACATGTCCAAGCTGAGTGCAGGCGCGCCGGAACGTAACCTCTGCGTATTGCAGCAAGCACGTACGACGAAACCAAACAAATGCACATGGGGAATGGGCGTCCGAGCGATGGCAAGGGGCGGCGAGGACGAAGAGACCGTGCTCCCAGGCCTCCTCTCGCCGGGGAGGAGCCCCGACGGGAGGATCTTTGATCTCTTTGTCCTCCGGGGACCCTCACTCGGCGGCGAGCGAGTGGGGGGATGTAAGACGGAGAAGGATTTCTCAGGAGGTTCGGAAGTCCCCCAGTTTTCTGATAAGCCGAAGACAAGCCAAAAACTTTCAGGAGGCGCGAGGGCTTCTGAGAAGTCCCGCCGCCTTCTGAGAAGGCCTTCTCCTTCTCATTTCCCCCCTCGCTCGCCGCCGACTCACCACGCCCCCAGGCCGAGACCGTAACACAAATGGCTCGGGGTGGAAAACAGGGGCGAGTCGGACGAGACTATAGGACGAGGACAGATCCGTTCCAGAGCGTTCCGGAGCCCTTCCAGAGCGATCCCGATCGCTCTGAGAGGGCCGCGGCGCCCGAGACATCTTCCAGAGCCGCCGGATCTCAGAAATTCTCGATTTATCCTCACCTGATTATATTCTCGTCCTGGATTTGTCTTAGTAAGGTAATTGGGGTGGGATAGGCTTGAGGACGAGGACGAGGACGATGAGGACGAGGACTTTGCCAGCGGCCGTCCGAGGGAGCCAAGATCGCCCCGAACGGCTGCTGGAGACTCGATGGCCCGATCGATTCCCAATCGCCCACCGATCGCCGATGGGGGCCCGAGATGCGGTGCGCGGTGAAACTCTCCGCAAAGACTGCGTCTGGCAGTGGCTGGCCATCAGGGGACAAGCTCGCTCGGGGGCTACGGCTCTCCTGAAAGACTTGTATCATATGCGGGGGTACCAGTGGCACGGGCCCCGAGTCTGCACACCCTCCCCGGATTTTCTCCTCTCCCCCAATCTTGTTTCGGCCGCAGAAACCTGGACCCCCTCCGGGGCCTCCTGGACCGCTTCCCCCTGGCGGCTCCGAGCAGCTCAGGAAGGCACGGCAAAGCGCCCGGAGCGGCCCCGCAGGGCCGAAGCCGCCCCAGGAGCCGTCCACGACCGCTCACGATGGCTTCGAGACAGCACAGGAAGCGGCCCCCGGGAGGCGCCTCAAGACGGCCCCACGGGAACCAACATCGCCCCTTCCACATGGGACAACACACATTTTTATAATATTCGCTTTCTATTCACTTCCAGAAAAATATTCAACGATGTTGGCTTTCAGGGTTTCCGACCGCCCAAAGCGGCCCAAGATGCCTTTAATATTGCCTCCGTCGTCATTTTGGCTCAAGCCATTGTGGCTCAAGTCATGTGGATCGGTGCAGTTGGTTTTCGGTCCCGGGAAGAATTCGGTGCAGTTGATACATTGGCATATTGTTGTCACAGTAAATGGCCCACTGGCAGCGCTTGCGCTCCAGACGCAGCATCTGCAGCAGATTTTGTGGCACTGTGCCTATAGGCGTTGCAGGAGTGAGCTCGTATGGCCGAGTACAAAACAGACGCGGAGTTGTCCACTATGGGTGCAGACAGCAGGATGGATACCACACCACCGGTATTGGCAGTCGTATTTTTGTTTGTCAATCGTCTAGTTGCCCATGCATTTCTAGGACCTCCGCCGAGCGATGATCGTTTTGAAGTCAACCACGTGGATGGGAATAAAAGCAACAATCGTGCGAATAATTTGGAGTACGTATCCCGTGCGCAAAATATGTTACATCACTTTAAAAACAATCCTCTGCGAAGGTGGAGCGTACAAGCAAACTCGAGGGTAATACTCGCAAGAAGGCGTGAATCGGAGACGTGGGACCGTTTTTGTTCTATCAAAGAGGCTGTGAGCCAGCTGGTTCTCCGTTCGAGTTCTATTGGTTTATATTGCCAGGGGGTGCAGAGTTCAACCGGAGGCTTGGAGTTCCGCTATGCCGATTCCAGTCCGCTTTTCTTGATTGGTGAGGAATGGAGACCAGCATTACATCCACGTGTGGACTCCACGCTCACCACTTGGGAAGTCAGCTCTTTTGGGCGCGTCAAGTCTTCGAGGCATGCGGTCTCATGGGTATCTAGGACCCCCGCCGGCTATCGAGCTGTTGATGTTTATATGTGTGGCCAGGTTTCATGGTTCCTTGTGCACCGACTGGTCGCCCGTGCCTTTTTAGGTCCAGCACCGAATTCAGAACGATGCCTTATAAACCACAAATATTCCGACCGAGAAAATAATATGGTCGATCATTTGGAATATGTGACACCGTCAGAGAATACGTTGTATTCATATCAGACGGGTCGAAGAAGTACGGTAAACAAGGGCGTTCTTGTGGAGGCGTGACAGTCAAGGTCAGAACAATGGATAGCGTACCCGTCTTTCGCAGAAGCATCCCGCCGATTTGGCGTCTCTGCTGAATGCATCTCACGTTGATAGCGTGGTGTCGCGCAGTCCGCAGGCGGCTACGAATTCTAGACGCTTCGCTTATCCCCACCAGCCCATCCCGAAACGATGTCCAGGCGAGTTGAGGTGATCAGGGAAGTGCGACAGCAAAGAGGAGGACGGCCGAACCGTGCAAAGGAGTGAGGAGGAGAAGGAGGAGGTGGATGGATGGATGGATGAGGGAGTGGGAAGACGGAGGATGAATAGGATGAGGAGGAGGCGGAGGAGGAGGAGGATGAGGAGGAGGAGGAGGAAGAGAAGGAGTAGGAGCAGGAAGGAGGAACATGAGGAGGAGGAGGAGGGCAAGCACAAGGGCCAGAGGTCTCTTGGATGCCTGTAGGAGCCTCTTGGAGTATCTCTTGGGCGATTCTTGGGGGCCTCTTGGGACGGCTTGGGGGTCTCTTGGCGATCCTGGGGGGCTCTTCGGGGTCTTGGGTGCCTCGGGGGGGGGGGGCCTCTTGGGGCCTCTGAAGGTCTTCTTGGGGGCCTTCTGGGGGCCTCTTGGGGCCTCTTGGGGCCATCTTGGGGCCATCTTGGGACCTCTTGGGGCCTCCTGGGCGCTTCTTTGTGCCATCTTGGAGGAGATCTATCAAAGAAGAGCTGAGCTTTAATTAGCGCGGCCCCCCCAGGAGGCCAAAATGGGGCCACAACCCTGCTAAAATCAATGATGTTGGCTTCCTCGCCGAGGCTGTCTTGGACGCTCTGACCGCTCCCCGCCCCTCCTGTCCAGGTCAGTGGGGAGGGGGTAGGGGGAGGGGTAAACCCCTCCCCGAAGGGGAAGAGGGTGGGGTGGAAGAGGAAACGCCCTAAACCACCGACGCCCAGAGGGCTGGTGGGATTCAGACGTGCACCAGTCGACAAGATTCCCGGGGAGAGATGGCGCCAGATCCCCGAGGAGTGGACAACAGACGCCGCCATGTGAGGCAACCCATGTGTCCTCGTGCTGGCTTCACATATCTCCCTGTGCTTGATTAGCGTGTGAGCGCCTGTCAGAATTCTGCTTGCATCCCATATTTTTAGGATGCTGGGCAAGGCAAAGTTTGGGCCAGCCTTGGGGACCTGGAGAAGTTGACGATCCCAGTGCTCTCTGACCCAAAACAAGAGGCCTTGAATACTTCACCGAGACAGAACAAGAGGCCCCCCCAGAGGGCCTCGATACGGCCCACGACGATATCGAGGTGGCCCAAGACGGTTTTATGATGGTCTCCAAGACGGCCAAGGTGCCTCCAATAGGGATACGATGGCCTCTAAGTTGGCCCAGGACGGTTCAAGATTGCCTCCAGGACGGCCCTAGAGGGTACAGGATGCCTCCCAGTTCGTCCACGATGCCTACGTGATGGCCCAAGATGATCCCAACACGGCCTACGATGGCCTCGAGACGGCTCAAGGAGGCCCCGAAGACGGCCGAAGAGGCCTCCAAGAGGACCTCCAGGAGGACCCGACGAAGCCAAATATGTTGATTATCCATTTGATGTTCATTGAGTTTGGTTGCCTTTTTCTGCTTCCGACCGCCCACGACGGTCCAAGAGGCCTCCAACATGGGCCCGGGACGGCCCAGAAGGCCCCAAAGAAAGCCCCAAGAGGGCCCGAGGATGGCCCAAGATGCCCCCAAGACGGTCCAAGACTGGCTCCAAGTTGGCCCTCGCCGATTGAAGTTGGCATCCACGACGGCCCAAAGGGTCCACGAGGCCTCCAAGTTGGCCCGCTCTGCCCCCAAGATCAAGATGGCCCACGATGGCCTGAAGACGGCCCTCGATAGTTTCACGACGGCACACGAGGCCCAGGCCTCCAAGAGACTCTCCAGGAGAGCTTGGTGATGCCCAAATCATGGATTTCCCAGTTGCGAGGAGGGGCGAGAGTATGAGGAGCAGGAGCAGGAGGCGCAGGAGGAGGAGGAGGAATTGGAGGAAGAGGAAGAGAAGAGAGAAAAGAGAAGAGGAAGAGGAGTTAGAGGAGACCGGAGCTGGAGGAGGAGGAGGAGGAGGAGGAGGAGGCGGAGGCGGAGGCGGAGGCGGAGGAGGAGGAGGAGGAGGAGGAGGAGCAGGAGCAGGAGCAGGAGCAGGAGCACGAGGAGGAAGGGAGGCCCCGCCCGGCCCGAGGAGCGCGCCGCCGCGGCCGAGGAGCGCAAGGGCGGCAGGCCTGGCGCACCGGGGCGCGTGACGCGGGACGCGCCGGGGCAGCCCGCGGGGGGGGTGGCTCGCCGCTCGGTGCCGCTTCGGCACGAACGAGATGGGTACGGAAAGAACGGGTACAATGCCTTGGTGTCGCTCGGACGTGTGCACTTCTCCTCGGCGGGGGCTATGAAGGGGCATCTTGGATCATCCCGCGAAGAAGCCACGCACGAAGCCGACAAGAACACATGGAATGGACGTCCGAGCGATGGCCAGATGCCCAACAGCAGTTCCTGTTCATGGGTACGGAAAGAACGGGTACAATGTCGGAAATTGGAACATATACATAGCCAGTGGCGGTTTGTTGTTTTTCAATCCCAAGACCTTTTTGAGGGTCGGGGTGGTGTGGTGTATACTTTCCTCATGCTTTTTTCCAATGGAAGCGACGACACATGTATACACCAGGATCCCGTATACACCAGGATCCGCGTTCCTGTGCGAATTTCGGCGCAGGGTCGGAAAAAGCGTCGTTGTGTAGAGTTCGTTTCCCTACAATGCCCAACAGCAGTTCCTGTTCATTTTGAGCAGGACTCGCTGTCCGCGCCGCCGCTGCCTGTGTCCATTCGAGACAGAAGGCCGCCTGCCCAACAGCGGCCGCTGTTGGTTTGGGACAACATTTGTTGTTGGGCATTGTATCCATGTTTTCCGTACCCATTTTGGGCGTCCAAACCGATGCTCAAGTAGTGGCGAAGCGTCTTGGCTCGCCCTCTAGGCCCACCAGGCAATGTTCTAAGAACCTTCTTGTGGTCTGCAAGACATGTTCTCAGAACAGGTTCTGGCTGAGACCGTCGTGTTTTACCGCGTCGGGTTATGTTCTGAGAAGAATTACTTGCCCTTGTTCTCAGAACGTGCTTGAGTTCTGACAGCATTTCGTGGTAGGCCTATCGGGATGCCGGGACGGCCGGTCCCTTCTCAGGATGCGGCCCGACTCGCTGCGCGTTCCGATCCAGTCCGTCTTCCCAGGCTCCAGGGAAGGATCACGAATACAAGGGCTCCCTCGAGGGCGCGAAGTTATTCGCGCTTCGCGCTTCGCGGTCCTCGTTCCTTCTCCCCCTCCTCCTCGTCCTCCTATTCTCCCTTTGGGGGGGCGGCGCGAGGGCGCGAAGTTATTCGCGCTTCGCGCTTCGCGCAGCGCGAAGCGCGAAGCTGGGAGCCCTTGCGAATATGGCACACCCTGCAGTCGCGGATGAGAGCGTCGAATAAGAAAAGAACGGACGCCGCAAACATAAAGATTCTGTTTGGTGGCGCGGATTTCGTGGATCCGCGCTGGGCCTCCCCGGCGCGCCTCCAGCGCCACCCTGGGCGCGCTCCGCGCGCCAGGGAGGGGGGTCCAGCGCAGATCCAAGAAATCCGCGCGGAGCGCCAAACGTTCATGCTGATAGTTTTTTGTTTTGTCTCTTTTAGAGGGAGGGGGCGAGCGCGGGGCGGGTCGCGAGTGGGTCGCGGCTGGGTTGGGAGTGGGCTCGCGGGGTGGGTCCCGCGATGGGCGCGGGCGTGTCGCGGGCGATGGCAACGAAGACAACAACGATAGTTTTAAGAGTGTTCGCTCTGACCTGCTCGCGCGCCATTCAACACGTATGTCACACATTCTCGATTCCCGATCTCTTCGTCTTCGATCGTTCTTCCCCTGGGGGTATGTGTTCCTTGCCTGCCGCGTGTAAATCAGGAGGGGAAAAAGCACAGACACAATTAGTCCTCGATCCCCCAGAAAATATTGGGAAAATATGGGAAGTGGGGGGGGAAGACAGAAACCCAGAAAATACGTGAAAATATTGGGAATCCGTTTACTTGTGTGTATTTATTTGTGTGTCCTGGGGCCCCTTCAGTAAACTCGCAGGCCCTAGATCAGGGGAGTAGTGGACCATGGGGGGGGGGCGAAGGACGGAGCACCCCCGGCGGCGCCCCCGGCGCCCCTCCTGGCGCAGGGCGGCCGGCGTAGATCCAGGACGTTCGCACCCACCCTCGAGGGCTTGTGCTCGTGCACGTTGTCCGACGCAGGCATCCAGACGCCGCCACCGTGCCAGGCCGGGGCCATCCTGGGCCCCAGGATAGTGTGTACGTGAGTCGGGCCTGTCCCTCTACAGGGGGGAATATCTAAAAGTAGTCCAGAAACAATCGGGGGCACTATTTTTGAGTATTTTTTGTGCCCATGGAGCATTTTTTCAGTAGTTGTTTCAAAGTACTTTTTAATTTTTGTGCGTCCCGTCGGGCGAGGAAATCTTATGCGCATGTCCACGGCTCCCTGGCGGGGCCCCTCTCGGGCCTGGGAGCTGCGTGTACGCCCTTCTCCAGGAGCGGAAAAATCACAGACACAATGTATCGTCGATCCCCAGGAAATATAGGAAAATCAGGGAAGTGCGGGGAAGACAAATTCCCAGAAAACACGGGAAAATATTGGGAATCCTGCTATTTGTGTTTTTTGTTGTTGTGTGTGTGTGTGTGTGTGTGTGTGTCAGGGCCCCTTCACTTCTGGCCTACAAAGGGGGCGCGCATCAAGAAACCATATGCTTTTCGTCAGGGCATCCTGGGTTTCTCAGCTGCTCGAGCTGCGCGGCGACTTCCCACGGCCGTTGAAGGAGCTGCTGGGTTCGGGGTGCTCCGGATTTCCCCTCCGGTGCACCTCGCGCGCAGGTTCTCAGGGTTGGGTTTCTTGCGAGGGTTTCTTGCGGCCGCGCCCGCACTGTAGCCTTAGGTCGGGCGTGTCCTCCTACAGAAGGGTTTTTGATGGAATTCTGAAATAGTCAAACACCGATTCACAAGTAGACAGGAAAATGTCAAAACATCGTCCCCATATCGTTGTTGTTACTGGTCTTGAATGTTCCTCCTGTAGATGGACACGCCCGACTGAAGTCCAGCCAGGAGGGAGTGGCGTATACACCGCTGCTGGGTTCAGCCCGGGCCTGGCCAGGGAGCAGTGGATAGGCCCCCCCCCCGGGGCGACGCGCGCGCCGAGGGGAGGCTTCCGGCATAGACTCTTCCTGGCGCGTGTTTTCTGGCCGCATCGCTCGGGAAACGCTGTCTCACCACACGGTGGTCGTACGAGATGTTTGGGTCGGGCACACGCCTCGGAGGAGGACTCCCTGTTCTAGTCTTTCCTCGTGCGCCCCAGTGTAGAGATCGTCGCCCTGCCCCGTCCTCGGAGGAGGGCTCGCTGTTTTAGTCTGGCCTTGTGCGCCCCATCATCGTCATCATCATCGTCATCATCAGCATCATCATCAGCATCGTCATCTTCATCTTCATCTTCATCTTCATCTTCATCATCATAGTAGGCATCAGTATCACCACCATCATCATCGTTGTCATCTTCAACATCATCATCATCATCATCATCATCAGCAGCAGCATCATCAGCAGAAGCAACATCATCAGTTCCAGTGCCGAGTTCGTCGCCCTGCCCCGTCCCGCACACGGGGCGCTGCAGAGTGGCCCTCGCTTGCGGCGCGAGGCTCTCGCCCTCGGCGGGTCGTCTGCCTGCGGGAAGCCGAGAGAGCGGCGCGGGACCGCCGGTGGAGCTCTCGGCCGAAGTTCGGCGGGTGCCCGCGGAAGTAGAAGCGGGACGTCAGCGGCTGCACGGGTTCCCCCGGGGCCGTCGGCGACCCGACGAGGAGGAGGAGGAGGGGGAGGAGGAGGAGGAGGGGGAGGAGGAGGAGGAGGAGGAGCAGGAGGGGGAGGAGGGGGACGAGGAGGAGGAGAAGGAGGAGGAGGAGGAGGTGGAGGAGGGGGAGGGGGAGGAGGAAGGAGATGGAGGAGGAGGAGGAGGAGAAGGAGGAGGAGGAGGAGGCGGAGGGAGGAAGAGGAGGCGGAGGAGGAGGATGGGTCGCCTAAGCCCTTCGGAGAAATCCTCCATCAGCGGTTTTCATGATGGCCCCGTCGGGCCAGCCCGAGTCGCCCGTGTCCGAGGCTTACGCCTCCCCGGAAAAGATTCGCCCCCCTCCACACACCCCTTGCGGAAGGCGCGGGCCTGCTCAAATAGGATGTGAGGAGGGCGCCTTCTAGGAAGCAGCCTCATTCTGAGAAGCCTTCCACCAAGGGCTCCCTCGAGGGCGCGAAGTTATTCGCGCTTCGCGCTTCGCGGTCCTCGTTCCTTCTCCCCCTCCTCCTCGTCCTCCTATTCTCCCTTTGGGAGGGCGGCGCGAGAGCGCGAAGTTATTCGCGCTTCGCGCTTCGCGCAGCGCGAAGCGCGAAGTTGGGAGCCCTAGCAACACCAATATCGGCGGTGTGCCTCCACCGAGGATGGATGATCCCGACCTCGGCGATGCTGGTGAGATTCGGGCTTCGCAGGTGACCAGAGCGTGACCGCCAACACCGAAATCCAGGGTCAGCTTCCCCTGGTAGAGGCCGCGCCTCTGTTGTTGTTTTCGTTGTTGTTGTTCTTGTTGTTGTTGTTGTTGTTGTTGTTGTTGTTGTTGGTGTTGGTGTTGGTGTTGGTGTTGTTGTTGTTGTTGTAGTTGTTGTTGTTGTTGTTGATGCCCACTTCCAAGTCTGCAAATTTAGTCAACCCGCATATCAAGGACGGGCAACCTTCCCAAGGGTACCCTTGCTTCTTTGCCTCCTCGGTCCATCTTTCGCCGCTTTCGCTGGCCGCGCCCCGCTCGAAAAGCTTTGAAATGGGCGTCCAAGGCCCTTGCACCCTTCTCGTTGTGGAGGACGATCCATGGAGAGGAAGCATGTTGCCAAACAATTTCCAGATGTCTAGAACATGTGTTAACACTGCGTTAAACATGTACAGCGCAGTTTTATATAAAAAATAACATTTCCAGGACATTCTTCCCGCACTATTAAAATACATGTTTGATTCGATGATAGGACTCTTAGGGTGTCCATTGTCGTGGCATGCGCAACCGTACAGTCGGGGCCCTGAAGAAGGAACCCTTTTCGTTGGGGAGGGGCTCGTTGTTCCTTGATTGGGCTGCAGTTTGCCTTCTGTTTTCCTGAGGTCTTCCATGGGACATCGAAGTTGAGCTTATGGGAAAAGGGGCCTCGTTCCTTATTTAGGGTTCCTTAGGTCAACGCCCCGACTGTATGGCGCATCCTTGTTGCACTCAGCGGGCGAAGAACGGTGTAACATATTTTTTTTCGCCGTCGGGGACACCTGCCCCTGGGCGGCTGGAAAGTTTATACCCCTACGGCGCCACCGTAAGGGTATAAACTTTCCAGCCGCCCAGGGGCAGGTGTCGCCGACGGCGAAGAAGTTTATGTCACACCGCTCTTCGCCCGCTGATGCACTGGCTGACTGTAAGGACGCCCTCTGCGCGCCGCCGACGCTCTCCGCCGGCTGGCGGGCGGCGGAGACGGTCGGCGGAGGCGGCCGGACGCGGAGCGAGGGCGGCTCCGCCGGCGGGGCGCCGGCGTCGGCCACGGGTTGGTCCCTCGGGCTAGGATGTTCCAGCCTATTGCTCGATGCTCGTTTCGGGGACATTCCTGGAGCCCACCTGATGGATCTGTTCGACCCCAGTTCGACTCAAGTTCGACTCGAGTTCGACTCAGGTTTGACTCAGGTTCGACTCGGGTTCGACTCAGGGTCGACTCAGGGTCGACCCAAATCGACTGACGTTCGACGCAGCTTCGACGCACGAGTGGAGCGAGTGGCTCCAGGAAGGTCCCCAGAACGAGCATCCAACTACTGGATTACCAGCCTGGCACATATCCCTATCCCTATGATGGGCACCTCCTCATCACGATGCCAATCTTAGGGATTGCCTTCTTTTTTGAGGGCGGATCCGTGAGATTGTCATCGCCTTGTGGCGTGTCAATCTTGGGGATAGGGATGCGTTCGAGGCTGGTAACTTTTAGCACTGATCACCAGAGATCAGAGCCCCGAATCATCAGGGGTAACTCGGGTCAGGGATAACTCGGGTTCGTTTTTCGGGAATCCAAACCCGAGTTACCCCGGACCCGAGTTACCCCGGATAACTCGGGCGCCCAAAGAGAGCAAAGTCGAGCCCCAGCACAGGTGCCGAAGCCAGAGGGTTTTCGCGTGCCGGGCCCCGGGGGGGGCGCTCGCCCGACACGGCTTCGACACTCTTTCGATCTACTTTTCCGGGTGCTCGACATTGTTTCTGCGATGTGGCCGTTGAGTACGACGGGAGCAACAAAACCCTCGGGTTTTTTTGAGACGGGGGTCAGTACAAAATCCTCGGGTGCTCGACATTGTTTCTGCGATGTGGCCGTTGAGCACGACGGGAGCAACAAAACCCTCGGTTTCAGACGGGGGTCAGTACAAAATCCTCGGTTTCAGACGGGGGCCAGAGGAAGCGGGGGTCAGTCAGCCAGAGCGCCCGATCCTGCAGGATCCTGCAGGGCCAGGGCCGCTTTGACCCGGGCCTGGGTGCAGGATCCTGCAGGGCCCTGCAGGATCCTGCGCATTGATCATCCGGGTTTGGGTGCAGGGTCTTGCAGAACCTTGCAGGATTTTGCAAGGCCCGACTGACCCGGGTCCGGATTGGATTGACCTGGGTCAGAAGAATCCCGGGTCCCCTTCTTTTCACCCCCTTCCCTGCCCTTCGGCAAGCCGCAGAGCGGAAGGTCGTCGCGTCAATCCCCCCCCGCTCCCTTTCGCCTGGTCCCCGAGGCGATGGAGGAATGAAACAGTGCGGCAGAGCGTGCGCGGGGCGGGACGGTGGGAACCCGACGCCTTCCTGAACTCCATCTTCCAATGTCCGCCCAGACCGTGGGCGTTGCATCTATATCAATGCACGGGCCAAGATGGTCTCGACCCCCCTTTCCCGGGAGCCGTTCTTCACCCCAGATGGCTCATGGTCTCAGAGCCCGATGCTTGTGTGGGGACAGACAGCGCACCACCGCTACCACCATCACCCCCTGTTGGAGTGCAGGATGGACTGACATGCCGGATGCAGGTGTGCATGCTGTCCCGCGAGAGCGACCGAAACAGCATACGCCACCACTCCTGAACCCCTTCTGCCTCCATCCCCCAGGTGGTGGTGGTGGTGGTGGTGGTGGTGGTGGTGGTGGTTGTGGTGGTGGTGGTGGTGGTTAGTGGTTGGTGGTGGTGGTGGTGTTGTTGCTGGTGGTGGTTGTGGTCTTGTCCCTGCTTCCATGCAGGCACCCAGACCGAAGTTGATAGATTTGAGCGGACGAGCCTCGCAGCCGATGCTCACGAGCCTCGGGGGTCTGGATCCCTGCCCCGGCCCAGGATATTGTCAGGCACACCCTGAGATCGCTCAACGCCAGCCTGGAGGCCTCCCGCAGCGCGTCGCGCGGCGCCCCGCTGACGTCGGACCAGGCGGCTGCTTTTCCCGCTTGAGAGGCAGGGGACGGAGATGCAGAGACAACTGAGACTGGGGGCGGAAAAGAGGGGGGTGATGACTAGGGGGGGTGGATATCATGGCGGGGGCCATGATATCTCCCCAGATGTCGTGGCGCCTCTTCTTATTCCATTACGTTCCCGGCCCCCCCGCTGGGCCGCGCACATGCCGCCGGTCATGATTTGCACCCCCCCCTCTTGGACACCCCCCTCTTGGCCGCTCCCGATGAGAGGGAGGACAAGGCCGTCTGCGCTTCAGATTGTTGGTCTGTTTGGCCGTGGGTTGTTTTCGGTCGTTTCGGTCTTCGCAGCTGCCGCCGTCCAGGCCCTTTTCGATCCATGGGTTTCGGTCCGGTTCGGTGCCGCCATCGGTTCACTCGTTGTCGTTCCGATTTGGGTGTCGCCGAAGTGGTCCACGGTTCACGGAAGAGTAGAACGCGCACAAGCACGCTTGCGTAATCATTTGTTTTCGGAGATTCGGCGCGGGTGTCTTGGGTTGGCACCAATCCTATTATCCCCGCACCTCCAGACATGCGTTTGTAAGTCCTTCTCTAGTGGAGCGTGAAGATCGTGGGAACAAGGAAAGGCGACACCAGCACCAGCAGGGCGGGGAGGTGCGAGGAGGCAAGGGGAGTCTCCCTGGTGGTGTGGTCCCCCCCTCTCGCTCGAGACATCCCCAGCATCCAGCTCGGGGAGGCATCGTGGACCTCCTCGCTGGAGGTGGGCCCCCAGGTGGTGTTGGCATCGCTTCTCCTCCCTCCGAGGTCGAGGCTCGAGGAGTGTGGCCTTTGGGGGGCCTTGTCACCACGGTGGGGTGCACCTCGGAGAGTTGGCCAGGGTGGACTCCGACATGAATCAGGAGGGGAAAAAACACAGACACAATGAATGGAAGTGGGGGGGAAGACAAAACCCGGAAAATATTGGAAAATATGGGGAATCGTTTTATTTGTGTGTATTTATTTGTGTGTCCTGGGGCCCCTTCAATGAAGTCTGGGGACCGAGTTCGCGTTGGAGCGGACTTGCCATATGGGAAGGAAGGACGAACAGCAGAAGCAGGGGTGGAGGGAGGAGCTGTGATGTCTTCTCTATTGCTTTGGGGGGGGGGAGGCCTGAAGTGAAACCTGAGGAGGGGGACAGGGGGAACGGCGGGGGAGGGGAGGAGGGAAGGGGGAGAGAGCGGAGGGCAGGAGGTGGAACATGGGGAGTATACAGTGGAGACCCATGCCACGACACACCCTGCTTGCCTCCAGGATGCCCTGGGTTTCTTGTGTTTCGATGGTCTTGCTGCGGAAAGCGTGACGCTCCCACACCACAAGTCCATGGACGTCCTGGGGTCTCAGGGCTGGGTCTCTTGTGGAAGGTTTCTCGTGGTCGGGCGCCTGCTGTATGGGGAGAGCTGGGGCCCCCGCGGAGGCTCGCGGATCACTGCGCTTCGCGCGCCGTGGTCTGGACCAGAGAGGGCGGCCCTCCGATCACGGGGGCGGCGCGGGAGCGCGGAGAGCGTCGCGCGCCGCGGGGCGCGGGGCTCGAAGCCGGGCGGCTTGAGCTGGGCGTGGCGTGGTCCTCGAGTCCCCGAGGACTGGCCACGGTGTGCGTCGTCTTTGAGCGCCACATGCTCGGACCGCCATCGCGACTCGGCACGCCGGTGAGGGAAGGCATCGAACTTGGGGCCCACTGCTGTGTGCCATGTGTGTATCAGGGTTTTCTCCTCCCTATCGATGTCAATCTCTCTCTCTCTTTTTCCCTCCGGTGTTTTGCAATCTCTCTCTCTCTCTCTCTTTCTCCCGCTGTCTCTGTCTCTTTCTCTATCATGTTCTCTCTCTCTCTCTCTCTTTCTCTCTCTCTCTCTCTTGCTATCTCTCCATCCCTCGCTCTGGCTCCGATTCGCATGGGGATGGGATGTGCGGCCCCAGGCACAATGAGGTCGCAACCGGCCCTCATTGTTGATTTCGATCGACCCCACCAGTATAGCAGTTGCCACACACAGCCCATGCACGTTGATCTTGAGATCCTCCTTCTGTCCCAATCTTCAGATCGACATCATTGTCGACCATGCCTGCGTCGACGCGGATGGCTCGCTGGACTACAAGGCCATCTGAGCAATTTGCCGCGACTATTGTCATCCGATAATTTTCCCTTGTTCTCTCGTGCGAGGCCTGGTAAGAGCAAGTATTCGATGATTGCTCCCACTTTCAGGACCGCCCGCACTATGTGGGATCTCATCTTGCCAGTGCTTGCCGACCGGGTCAGTTTTGTTGTCGGACCCTTGTCCGCCAAGCAGTCTTCGGCCAGGACGGTGACAATATGTTGCGGTTGCGCTTTCTTTGATAGTGGCATCGATTGCAGCCCGTTCGCCTTCCCTCTCATGCCCGCCGCCCTCTCCTCATTCCGCCCTCCCGCTCCTGATCTTTTCTGATTGTTCGGACCTCCTCGGTCTGCATTTTCGAGGGCCACTGCATCGCACCACACGGGCGAGGAGAGGGAGAGGGGGTCGAGAGGAGAATGGGAAGTGGGGGGGAGGGGGAGGGAGCAGGGAGGGTTGGTGTGTGTGTATTGTGCGTGTGTTGTTGTGTGTATGTGCGTGCGACGAGTGGCTTTGCGCGAGGCGTGCTCCTTCCACGTGACTGTGCGCGTCGGGTTGCGCACTGAGTCAGAGACTTCCGCTCACAACACGCCTGCAGACTCCGCCCCCGAAGCTAAAGAGATCATGGTGGCGCCCGCATGTGCCCCGCCCTTCGTGAGAGCCGCCTAACCCGGCAGGCTTGAAGAAGGGAGGCGGGCGTTGCGCAATGGGGTGGGGGCGATGAATGGGGGGTGGTGAGGAAAGGTTCACCCTAATGTTAAGTCGGGCATGTCCCTCTACAGGAGGAAAATTCAAAAATAATCCAAAACCACTATGGGAGCGATGTTTCTACTATTTTGGATTATTTTTGAGGATATGTCTTGACTATTTCTCCTTGTTCTTCCAAGACCCGCCTGTAGGAGGATACGCCCGACCTAACCCTGATGGGGCCGAGCTGCACCCGACGACGCGAGCACATCCCATGTCGGTCGCCGAACCAGCGGACCTGACGTGAACCTTTGCCGGCGCGGGTCTCGCGGTCTCGCTCGCCTACCCGACGGGCCAAATAGAGCCGTTTTCTGATTCATTCTTCTGCCGATGGGCGCGGGCCTTCGCCCCCCCCCTTATGGAGTAGATCTTGGCTGTTTTTGGCGCCTGTCTCGAGCAGGTGGACTCTTCCGCATCGAAAGCACTGCTGCAAGCGGTCGCATCAAGCAGAGGTCCAGAGCCAGACCCCCCCCTATGCGCTCAATGTTGAAACGCCGAGTAAGAGAGCGTGCACACACACACACACCACTTCTCCCAGGACTTCACTTCGATCTGGTCGATCCGATGCGACCAGCATCTTGACGAGTCGATGCGACTCGATCTTGACATAGTGCTGTTGTGCATCATGGCACAGCCGGTCCGGCTCGATGTCGACTCGGGGTTGGTGTGGCCCGATGCGACATACAGTCGGGCCGCTGAAGAAGGAATCCTTTTCGTTTGGGAGGGGCTCCGTGTTCCTTTGTTGTTGTGTTCGCAGTGCTCCTTGGGTTTTCCTGAGGTCTCTCATGGAACATCGGAGTTTAACGTATGGGGAATGGACCTCATTCCTTATTTATCGTTCCTTAGGTCATCGCCCCGACAATATTCCAGCACGCCCTTCGGGCAGTGAACGTGTGTTTGGGTCTGCGGATGCGGCCGTGGCAACAGGCAGCTTCCCGGAGGCCCCACAGGGACAGGCAAACACGTAGGTTTCCCCGTACATCACCACCCACCAAACCACCCCAACCCAACCCGAAGGTTCAGATTTACCCTCGATTTCTAGTTTGGGGGGGGTCTGGAAACCTCGACAAAAACACGCGTGGAACCCTTACCCCCCCCAACCCGAAAATCGGGTCTTCGGGTTGGGTTGGAGTGGTCTGGTAGGTAGTCAGTACAGTCAAGTCGCTGGACTAAGGAACAGTTTGGGTTCGGAAGAGGCTCGAGGTTCCTTAGGCCCTTCCATGGCTGTTCCTCAAACCCTCCTCGTGTACGCAGGCGCTTTGGGGGCCAAAAAGGGGCCTCGTTCCTTATTCAGCGTGCCTTATTTCGGGGGCCCGACTGCACTGGCCGGGCCTGTTTCCTTCAGTAAGGCCGCCGAACAAAAAAAATTGACCGCTCCCTGTCGGGGGTGAGTTTTAAAGTCCTATCGGGGTCAGATGTGGTGCTGGCGTCTTCTACAGTCGGCCCGGATTAGTAGGTCGACCCTGCCAAATCGAGGGTCCTGTGCCTCGCGAGACGTGCCTTCTTACTTTCCTATTGCGATGTGGCGCTCGGAGGGGTCTTGTGTCCTCTCGCGTGTCCTGTATTCCTCGGCGAGAACCATCGAGGACCATCCTGGACCACCGAGCAAGACAAAACACGCACGACGCCGAAGAGTGCACGGGAAGTGGACGCCCGAGCGACGGCAAGAAGAGGCCTCCCGCCCTCCCCCTCCCCCTGCCCCTCCCCCTCCCGCCCAAAAATAGTCCAAAAATAGTCTGGGCACTTTTCTAGCACTTTTGGATCACTTTGGGGGTATTTATTTCCGTCGGAAATCCCTTTGTAGGGGGACAGGCCCGACATAGGCCTCATTCTAAGAGGCCCCCCGCCCTCCCCCTGCCCCCCGCCGCTGCGCGCCGCCCGGCGCGGGCGGCCAGGCCTTCCTCGACTCCTTCCAGATCGTGGACACCCTCTCCGGCGGAGAGGAGGAGCCGCGCGCGCCGCCCCCCGCCCCCAAGGGGGCCTCCGAGGGCGGGGGCGAGGGCCACCCCGGCACATCGCTTGGGCGAGTGCATTTTTTTTAACAAAAAAAATGAATACGTATTTTAATATATATATATATATATACATATAACATGTGTATATATATATATATATATATATAATTCCGGCGAGGACCATCCAGGAGCATCCTGGGTCACATTCAGTCACATTCAGGATGGGAAAAAACACTCAGACACAAGGAATCGTCGATTCCCCCGAAAATGCAGGAAAACATGGGCAGTGGGGGGGAAGACAAAAACCCAGAAAAGATTGGAACATGTGGAGAATCCTTTTATTTGTGTGTATTGATTTGCGTGTCTCGGGGCCCCTTCAACCAAAAACCGCGCACGAAGCCGACAGGTGCACGGGGAACGGACGCCCTGAGCGCTGGCAAGCTGCAGCCAGGACGCGGGGAAGAAGGACCCCGCTGGCCACGTGCGCGCTCCCCGCGTGAGGGCGATGGCGATTGGGATGGCATGGTGATGGCGACGATTCGGATGATGGTGTTGGTGATGGCGATGGTGATGGTGATGGTATACAGTCGGGGCCCTGAAGAAGGAACCCTTTTCGTTGGGGAGGGGCTCCGCGTTCCTTAAGTGTTTCACAGCTTGCCTCAGGCTTTCCTTATGTTTTCGACAGGAAATCGAAGGTTAACTTATGGAAAAAAGGGGCCTCGTTCCTTATTTAGGGTTCCTTAGGTCAACGCCCCGACTGTATAGGGGAACAACAAGTGGCATAAACATAAAACTCGGAGGTCCGCGCGGATTTCTCGGATCGGCGCTGGGCCCCCCCCCCCCCGGCGGCGCCTCCGGCGCCGCCCCTGGCGCCCTCCGCGCGCTAGGGTGTTGGTGATGGCGATGGTGATGGTGATGGTGATGATGATGATGATGCTGATGCTGATGCTGACGCTGACGCTGATGCTGACGCTGATGCGGATGCTGCTGCTGATGCTGATGCTGCTGATGAGGATGACGATGACGATGACGATGACGATGACGATGACGATGATGATGATGATGATGATGATGATGATGCTGATGATGATGATGATGCTAATGATGATAATGATGATGAGGCTGATGCTGATGATGATGATGATGATGATGATGATGAGGGGAAGGAGGAGGAGTGATGAGGATGAGGATGAGGAGGATGAAGATGGTGCTGATCGTGGTCATGATCATGATCACGATCGCGGGTGTGATGATGTTGTGATGGTGGTGATGATGCTCATGGTGCTACTGAGTATTAGGGCGATGAGTATAATGATGAGGCTGCTGGTATTGATGATGATGATGCTGATGCTCATGCTAACGATGAAGACGGTGATGAAGATTATGCTGATGCTGATGATAATGATGTTGATGCTGATACTGATGATGATGCTGCTGCTGCTGATGATACGTATGATGATGAGGATGAGGATGATGATGCTGACGATGATGATGATGCTGATCCTGATTATGAAGCTTATGATGATGCTTTATGCTGATGCTGATGCTGATGCTGGTCGTGATGATGAGAGATGGTGACGTTGATGATGATGATGATGATGATGAGGATTATGATTATACTGATGATGATGAAGGTGAATATGATGATGTGATGATGTGTTGATCATGCTACTGATGATGATGAGGATCAGGATCATGATCAGGATGATGATGATGATGATGCTGATGCTGTTGTTTGTGATGATGATGATGATGATGATGCTGATATGCTGATGCTGATGCTGATGCTGATGGTGATGGTGATGGTGATGCTGATGATGCTGATGATGCTGATGATGACGATGATGAGGATGATGATGATGATTGAGCAGCTCATGCAGCATACGATGCAGCAGATGATTCAGCAGATGATGCAGCAGGTGATACTGAGGCCTGAGCACTCAAGGGCCTGAGATCCAGGATCGGGCCTCGAACCCAAACAGGCGCAGGCAGGGGGGGGGAAGAGCAGGCAGCAAGCTGACCACTGACGGGGTGGATATCGAGACCAGGGCCATCAGATCTCTCTGATGTGATGGCCCCCAGTGGGCCCCAGAAACGGCAGGGCTGTGTTTAGCTGTGTTTTCTTTTCACCGTTTCCAGAAATGTGTCTCTTCCTTTTTGGGTGGGAAAGCGGAATCGGGAAAAACAAACGGAAATAGTACAAACCGGCTGGGGGATTGGAATTTGAGCCGGAATTGGAAGCACAACGGAAACGGAACAGGCAATCAAACGGCGTCGGAACCAGCAAACCACTTGGAAAACGGAGTCGGTAATACAAAGGCCCTGCCGTTTCCAGGGCCCACGAAGTCCCTCCTTCTTTCAACACGTCCCCCGGTCCCCCCCATCGGCTTCGCACGTGCCACGGGCCATGGTTTGCCAGCCACCCGTCTTGGACCCCCTCCCCTTAGGCGCCCTCGAGCTCCCTCGCCTCCGGGAGAGAGTGGGGAGGGGAAGGCGGGGAGGAGCCGGGAGGTGAGCGAAGCAGGGCCATCGGCAGGGAAGGCAGGGGGCACGGCAGGCCCCCGGCTCCCTCTTTCGCGAGGGCGCGGCGAGGGAGAGGAGGAGCGTCGGGGCCGGGTGCGAAGGAAGTCGGGGAGGTCCGAGGCGTCCATGGAGGCGAACGACGACGAGGACGACGACGACGACGACGACGACGACGACGACGACGAAAGTGAGGGGCCCCGCGCCACAGGGCCAGGCCGCACAGGCCCGACGACCACGGCCACGGAAACAGGCGGCGCGCGCACGGTGGCCCTTCCACGCAGAGGGAGAGGGGGGGGAGGAGGGCGCGGAGGAGGAGGGGAGAGGGAGGCCGAGGCAAGGCGCCACCGAAGCAGGGGGGGGATCATCGGGAGGAGCCAGACGAGAGGGAAGCACGGGGCGACGCAGAGGAGGAGGACAGAGGAGACGGCGGACGGCGCAGTGCCCCGGTGCCGCGCCGTGCCCTGCTGGCACAGAGCAAGCGAGGCGGAGGTTTGCGCGCGCTGGTCGGGAGGCGAGGAGGAGCCGGGCGGGTGAAGTGAGGGCGGCGCGGTGCCGGTGCCGTGCCGCGCCGTGCTGGAACAGGGTCTCCGGGGCGGAGGGGCGCGCTGGCCGGGGGGCGAGGAGGAGCTGGACTGGCTGCGGGGGCGAGGAGGAGGAGGAGGAGGAGGAGGAGGAGGAGGAGGAGGAGCTGGGCTGGTTGCGGGGAGTGGGGGGGGGGATGAGGGCCAGCTGGCACCGCGCCGTGCCGTGCCGGAATGCAGCGGCCAGAGCGGAGGGAGCGCGCTGACTGGGGGAGGGAAGCGAGGAGAGTATGGGCTGGCTGCGGGGGCGAAGATGAAGAGGAGGGGGGGGAGGAGGAGAGGAAGAGGAGGAGGAGGAGGAGGACTTGAACTGCGGGGGGCGGGGGGGGCATCGTGCCGTAAACGATTGGTCGGGGCGGACGGGGCGCGCCAGCTGCAGGCGAGGAGGAGCTCAGCTGGCTGCGAGGAGGAGCTCAGCTGGCTGCCGGGCGGAAGAATGCGGGCCCCGGTGCCGGTGCCGCGCCGTGCCGTGCCAGACGAAAGCGGTCGGAACGGACGGAGCGCGCTGGCTTGGGGGCGAGCAGGAGATGGCTGGCTGCGGGGGGCGAGGACGAGAAGGAATTGGCTGTCGGCGGGGAGCGAGGGAGGAGCTGGGCTGGCTGCGCGGGCGGCGGGGGAAAGGGAGGCGCGGTGCCGGTGCCGTGACGCACCGGAAAAATAGATGACGGGGCGGACGGGGCACGCCGGATTGCAGCCGAGATTGAAATGGGCCGGCTGCGGGAAGGCAGGAGCGGGGGCTTTGGCTTGAAGGCGAAGAGGAGCTGGGCTTGCGGCGCGGGGAGGAGTTGAATTGGGAGGCGCGAGGAGAGGAGCTCGGCTGGCTGCGGAGAGGGGGGAGAAGTCGGGAGGGGGTGCTCGCGGATGCCGCGGCGAAGGGAGGTCGTCGGAGCTCTTTGGGCACAGGTCTTTGGGCACGGGCGCGATCCGAAGCTTTGGGGGCGGGTATAGGGGTGCGCCCGGGAAATGGGGGGGCCCGGGGGAGGCCGCGGCGACACGGTGGCACGGCGACGAGGGGCAGGGAGGCCAGGGGACGCCAGGGAGGCCAGGGGAGGCCGGGGAGGCCAGGGTCAACCAGTGGCGACGCGTCCTGGCTCGCCGATATGCTCACCGCGCAATGTTCTAAGAACCTCTTCTGGTTTCTACGAAAGGTTCTCAGAATTATTCTGGCTGAGACTTGTGTTGTGTTCAAACACATCGGGTTTGTGTTCTAAGGACATGGTTGATGCTCTTAGAGCATTTTTGGGCTCTCAATTGCACATCGTGGTATGCCTATACGAATGCCGGGACGGTCGGTCCCTACTTCAGGGGAGGCCAAAGGATGCCGGAGGGCATCCCCCCCCCGTCGGCCTGCCCTGGGCCCCCTCCCCAACCTCCCCAGACCCCTTCGACTAGTGAAAAATCATGACGGGAGGTTTTTCACCATTTTCGGCCTCCGGGGGCCCTCAGTGGGCCTCGGGACCGTCAAGAAACGACTCAGGACGAGAAACTGGTCCTGGGGAATGGGTCGATACTTCCGGGGACATCGCATCTCTGGGTCCCTGGCCTCACGCCTCCCCTGCTTTATGACATTTTCTGCTGCATATCCGTGAGACCCTGGCGTCTGAATTTGTCAAGCCGGGCGTGTTCGCCTTTTCTGGTGTCCCGGGACCCTCACAGATCCATCCGGCTCGGTGAATGACGCAGAAAGGTGGGGTCTAGGGCTCCAGGCGTGTTGTTGTTTACGATGTTGCACTTTTGCTGCTACGTCGGATCTCAGGCATAGACACATACCCGAGGACGCCATGTTTCTTGTTTCTTCTGTGTTATCACCGTGTGGACGGCTAGAGTGCTCGACGGGATTGGCTTTTCATCCCGAGTGGGCTTCTGACCGCCCCGGATCTCAGGAAGAGCCCCCATATTCGACCGCAGTATAACGTGGGGCATGCATACACGTGAGGTGGAGAAGGTTGCGCCTGTCCTGCGCCCTTTGGAGTTGGAGCTGCAGTTCCGACCCCCTTTGTTGAGATTGAAGTCTTCGCACGAGCAAGAAGCCGCGCCCAGCGAGGTGACATTCGGCATCGTCGCTGGTATGTCCGTGGTCGAAACCGGCTTAATCTGGCAGAGTTTCTGTCGCGAAATTATGTTCGATCCCCCGCTGAGTCCGGTTTCATCTCGCCATCTTAATCTGGCGTTCGCCCTAAATGTTTCTCACGACATCCCAGGATATGTGTCCTCGTTTGTCATGGCGTGGCAATCTCAGGGTGCAGGAAACCGCTACTGCGCTGAGACTAGCCTTGTTTGTACAGGGGGCGTCAGTCCGCGAATGAGCTCCAGATGGCAGCACTGCGCCACCGATCTACAAGCAAGATGCCGTGGCAAGCAGCATCTGACACCCCGAAAGCCTGCACTCCACTGCATCCCCAGCGATCTGCCCGTCCGACGCGGGCAGAAATGCACAATTTTGGACAACCGCAGCCGTGCTCACGACGCGATGGGGTGCTAGGACCCCCTGCCCCACATGTGTTTCGAGCAGGGCATCGACGGCAGAACTGATGTACCCCAGGATTTGTGTTCTTGGTCTGCCCTGCGGGAGAGAAGTTAAACGTTTCGTAGATCGTCGGAGCATTCTGCGCATGTCTTGCAGATTCGACGGCCACATCACTTTTGGGGTGTGTCAATTCTGTAGTCGATCCCCCAGTCGAATGTTTTTGTTGCATCACGAGTCGTTTTGTTGGGCGACGGGACCAGAGCCAGAAACTTGCCCGCAGAGGCCAATAACGGAGCCCATCCTAGCGCCTCGATATCATCGAGGCGATGGTCAGGCGGAGCCATAACCAGGACAAATCATTTCTGAACGTGGGGGTACGCTCTCATAGCGCTCCAGAGCGCTCAGGAAGGGCTGTGCGGCACCCGATGCATTCTCCCGAACCGCCGGATCCTAGAGATTTTCCATTCCCCGTTCAATCATATCCCGGTCCCATGATACAGTTTTCATATCCTTTGGTGTTGAAAGGCGTGTCCGATGTGGGGGATGGGGATAGGATGTCTGTCACGTGACGATTTTTGCAGGAATGGCTCATTCTCACACAGCGCAAGCGCGAATTATGATGTGACCAGGGAGGGTGGTGGAGTGGAGGGGGGCGGCGGGATTTGCTGCGGGCGTTACCCCGAAGAGAAGAAATCAGGCTCGAGCTCCGTCATGGCCAGGCGTCCCTTGGGAGCGGCGAGCATAACGGTATCCGCGCCCTCGCAGTCTGGGATCTGGGGCGCGATCCCGCGGATGCGCGCTCGCACGGATGCCTTCCGCACGGGGCGCTCGCGAGCAACAAAATTCTCGCTTGCGCGGGGTCGCGGTCCAGGTGCCCGGCCCGCGAGGCCGCGGGCATAGAGATCTTCTTCGCTCACGGGTCCGGTCCCTCCGGCTTTAAGTTTACGTCGCCTCCCCAGGGAAGACGTGCGCGTCGCCTCCCCAGGGACGACGCGCGCGCCGAGAGATTCGCCTCCCCAGGGACGACGCGCGCGTCGAGAAATCTCATGGTATTTGCTGCACGGCGGGGACGGTAGACTACAAGATGCCTGTGCTACATGTTCGGTTCGGGCGCGCGCCTCTGAGGAAGACACAAGGCGGGAGTGCGGGGATGTTTGCTCAACTATGCCTGGTGCTTTCTGAAGTCTCGCCCCTGCTCTGCTCTGCTGGGCTGTCCTCAGCCCAGGTTGTGCAGGGTGCGGCGAGCGGGGATCACGTCGGTGCTACCCGTCCGTCCTATCGGTGCGTGCCATCTGTTCGCTCCTTCCCTCCTCCTGTCTTCCTCCTCCCTCCTCCCTCCTCCCTCCTCCCATCTTCCTCCTCCCTCCTACTGCCCCCTCCCGTTGCGCGAGGGTACCTGCATCTCGCCGTAGTCGCCGTGTGGGCCCCGCTGCCGGCGCCGCGGGCCGGGCCTGCGCCGCCGGCGGAGCACAGGGCATCCGCGCGCTTTGAGCAGCGGCGAAGCGTCCTGGCTCGCCTATAGTTCGCGAGCGAAGAACGGTGTAAAATAAACTTTCCGCCGTCGGGGACACCTGCCCCTGGGCGGCTGGAAAGTTTATACCCCTACGGGACAGGCGTCCCCTACGGGGACACCCGCCCTGGGACAGGCGCCCCCGACAGCGAAGAAGTTTTTTTACACCGTTCTTCGCCCGTTGATATAGTGAAGTCGGGCGTGTCCCTCTACAGGATGAATACAGTGGGGGCGCGCATCAAGAAACCATGTGCTTTTCGGCAGGGTATCCTGGGTTTCTTCGCTCCTCGCGCTGCGCGGCGACTTCCCGCAGCCGTTGAAGGAGCTGCTGCGTTCAGGGTGCTCCGGGCTTCCCCTGAGGTGTACCTCGCGCACGGGTTCTCAGGGTTGGGTTTCTTGCGAGGGTTTCTTGCGGCCGCGCCCGCACTGTATTCAAACATAGTTTTAAAAGAGTCACGACTTTTTGACTATGTTTGTCCACTTGTTTTTTGTATTTTTTCCGCCCAAATTCCCCCTGTAGGGGGACACGCCCGACTTGAGCTTATAGGCCCACCAGAGAATGTTCTAAGAACTCTCTGTATGGTCTGCACGAAGTGTTTTAGAACACTTCTGGCTGGGGCGGTCTTTTTTGAACACATTGGGCTTGTGTTCTAAGACAATTGTTGCTGATCTTCGAACACGTTGGGTGTTGGGTTTCTGGGAACACTTCGTGGTAGGCCTATAGCAATGCCAGGACGGTCGGTCCCTGCTCAAGAGGAGGGGGGTGATCCGGAAGGGTGCAACTCCCGGGAGGTTGCATTCTTCAGAGACCCAGAGTGCAGATGGAACAAAGTGATTCGGAGGCAAATCATGGGAGCCTTGTATACCTTCGTAGTTCGGTATTTAGCGTTGTTTAGCATCGACTCGCGTCTGAGAGTGGATGATAGCTTCGACTTTAGCGTCAACTTAGCGTCGATTAGCGTCGACCAGCGTCTATTAGCGTCGATTCGCAAGGGCCGACAAACGGTATGGGAGGCTCCCATGAGTTGCCACCGAAGGTTGAACTCTTCAGAGATCCAACGTGCAGATAGAACCAGATGAAGACGAAGATGGTTCTCGCCGTTTTGGGCTTGAACCTTTGCCAATCGAGCCTCTTTGCCTCTCAATCTGGCCTTGTAGCCCTCGGTGTCGGCATCCCTCGGACCTGTGCATTTTTGTGTTCGGCGAGGACCGTCGAGCAGCATCCTCGATCACTTAGCAAAATGAGCACGCACGATTTCGAGTCATGCACGGGGAACAGATGTCCGAGCGATGGCAACCAGCCGTTCTCTCGGCAGCAAATCATGGGTGCCTGGGGTACTCTCAAAGTCCCGCTTTTATTCAGCGTCGATCAGCGTCGATGAGTGTCTGGGAGTCGATAAGATAGCGTCGATGAGCGTCGATGTAGCGTCGATGAGCGTCGATTGGCGTCAAGTAGCGTCGATTCGCAGGAGCCGACACGAGATGGCGTGGGAGGCTCCCGGGAGTTGCCACCGGAGGCGGCTCTGGCCTCCTTGGGGGGACCGCTCTCCCCCCTGCGCCCATGCCCACGGGCCTCGTTGCAGGAGAGTTGCCGGAGGAGGGGGAGGCGGAGGAGGAGGAGGAGGAGGAGGAGCAAGGAGGAGGAGGAGGAGGAGCAGGAGGAGCATGAGGAGCAGGAGGAGCAGGAGGAGAAGGCGGAGGAGGAGGAGGAGGCGGAGGAGGAACGACCCCCAAGTGACCCCACTAGATTTCCTGGGAGGCTCCCAGGAGTTGCCGCCGCACGCGGGGAGAATGCACGCCCGAGCGATGGCGGGCAGCCCTCCTTGCGGAGACCTCCCCCGAAGCTCGGGCTTCCCGGCCTCCCCCCGCCGGGCGCCTCCTCCTCCTCCTCCTCCTCCTCCTCTCCTCCTCTCCTCCTCCCTCCTCCTCCCTCCTCTCCTCCTCCTCCTCCTCCTCCCCTCCTCCTCCTCCTCCTCCTCTCCTCTCCTCCTCTCCTCCTCCCTCCTCCTCTCCTCCTCCTCCTCCTCCTCCTCCTCCCCCTCCTCCTCCTCCTCCTCCTCATCACCACCATCACCGCACATCCCGAGGCACCAGAGGCACTCCACGAGTCACACAATAATTCACAACGCTGCATTGTTGGTCTACCTCTGACAAAGAGGGCAAGCAGAACAACAACTACGATGCATGTGGCAAGCGCGTACACATACAACGATTGCAAAGGGGGCATGCGTGCTACTCAAAGGAACGCTCACTGCTGTGGACAGCTTGCACCACCAGAGGGAGGCGAAATACCTGGGATACCAATCGATTTGCCTTGCCCCTGGGTTTGTGAATCCAAACGATTGCGCCTGCAGATGAAAGGTTGCCTCGTCTGGCTGCTTGTCCACACAGAATGCTCCAGTTCAACATCCCGAATGTAATCCAAACGGCGTCGCCTACGGATGAAGGGTCTCCTCGTCTGGGTGGATGTCCATACAGAGTATTGCAATTCGATTTCACGAATATAGTGTACAGCATCGTGGGAGAGGCCGTCGTTCTTCTCGAGAAAGGGGCAGTCGCCGCGCAGCCCTGCCAATCCCGCCTGCACACCCTCAGAGCCGTCCTCCGTGGAGGGGGGGGGTCACCCCATCGGAGGGAAACTGGGCCACACGCGCCAACCGCTGCACGAACGGCTGGGCGACGCGGCCAGGGTACTCTCGACCCCATAGCTGACGCTGCTGCTCGATCTCATGAATGTACCCAGAACAATCGCAACTGCTCTCCGACATGGCCGTGTCCGAGCTCTCCTGCGGCACGCGCGAATCCGCAGACAGCCCAGTGGCAGGAGGGGCCAGGCGCTCCTCAGCGTCCGCTGCCTCGTGCACATCACGCTCTGATGACGGCAAAGCTTGCTCTACAAAGGTAACCTCATCAACAGATTTGAGTTCCGTGTGTTCGTTCGCCCCACCTGCAGCTGCCGTGGACTGCGCACCGCCGCACGCCATGGGGACGAAAACCTCGGAATTGGGGTTGAACTCGAATCGCCTGCACTTCAGTCGGGGCCCCTTCTGAAAGCCCTTCACCTGCTTGTCCGAGGTTTGTGCAACACTAGCACCACCTGCGTGCGCATGGAGGAAGCTCGGGGTTGTCGAAGATGGCGGCAAAACATTGCAGAAGCTGCCCATGCGTGCCGCGCACTCTCGCCAGGTCCTCCGATAACTTCACGATTGCTCTGTCAGCTGAAAGGCGAGCCCACTGCTTGGCAGCACGTCTGGCAGCCGGAGTCCGCCGATCTGGGCGATCAACGCCATCGCCCTCCTGCGCCATGATTTCCGTGAGCCAAAAGCCCTGTCCCCCCCAAGGCCCTCACGCCCGCCCGGGATGGGGGTGCGCCGAGGGACAAGGTCCAGGAGCAGGGGGCCTACGGAAAGGCCTTGAGCCAAAATGGCTACGGTCTCCTCCTCCTCCGCCTCCGCCTCCTCCTCCTCCTCCTCCTCCTCCTCCTCCTCCTTCTCCTCCCCCGAATGAGCCCACGGGTCCTGGTATGTCCTCGGCTGGGCCTCCGCACCGCAGCGGCGCCACGCCACGCCACCATCGGGAGCGGCTAAGGGTCAAGTCGGGCCTGTCCCTCTACGGGAGGAACATTTTCAGGAAGAGTCAAACAACATCTCATGGGGGTGCTTTTTGTGAGTGTGTCTTGATGTGGCTCGATTGTTTTGGAGTATCCTTTATTTTTAGTCCGAAATCCGCCTGTAAGGGGACATGCCCCCGACCTAAGCCAAGAGGGGGGTGGAGACCTCGGGGGGGGGATCACATGGCCAGGGCCAGGGTATCTCCCCGGATTTCGTGGCCCCTCGTCTTGTTGAGGTACGTTCCCTGGCCTCCCCCTTGGTCCGCGCACCTGCCTCGGGCCACGATCTGCACACACACACACACACACACAGACACACACACACACAGACACACACAGACACACACACACACACCTCTTGGACGCCCCCCTCTGAGACGCCCCAGGCACCAGGAGGGCATCGCGCCTGCCCCTTCGGTCTCAAGTCATGGGAGCCTTGCGTACCCTCGCTCGTGATTCTGTGGCACGTGCATCACCCATCGGTCGTTGGAAGTAGGTATTTCCGGGTTTCAGATCTCAATCTACTTTAAGCGCCTTCCTACTTCAATGATCGAGTGGCTTCACCCTTTCCTGCCTCAGGGGGCGGGCGGACCCCCGATCTAGTTTCAACGCCTTCCTACTTCATGTTTCTACCTACTTCTTCCGACCTGTGGGTACCCTCGTAATTCTTTTGTAAAGGAACGACTACCACTGGCAGGCTCTCTTTCAGTCTCTGGACTTTTAGGGGGTCCGGGACGACGCCGGGGTGGTGTGGTGTATATTTTTGTTTACCCGCTTCCTTGGGAAACAACGACACATCTATGCGCCAGGGTCCCGTATACACCTGGATCCGCTCTTCTGTGCAAATGACAGTTCAGGGCTGGAAACAGCGTCGGTGTATACGGTTCGGTTCCATACTTTGGCCGTGGTGGTACGGGGTCAATTCGGCATCGGCTCTCGTATATCCGTGTTCGACAACCGACCGTATCCAGCCTAATCCCGTGAAGTTCCGCTCAGTCTTGCTACATTTGGCGCGGCCCTGCTTGATCCTGGACGTGATCTGCGATGATCGAGCTCCGTGGCCCCTTGATCGGCTCGGATGGCCCTCAATAGTTCTCACGAGGACCTCTCGGGAGTTGCTGTCTAATTGGTTGGTTCTAGGCCTCCAAGATAGGGGTCGGAGCAGGTGGTGTTGGAGGATCGCGCCGCATCGCCGATGCATCGGCGATGTGGCTCGATCCAGACCACGACTTCATCCGCGCCCGACGTCGCGGATGCATCCCCGACGTTGCCGATGCCTCGCTGATGCATGCGTGTCGAATCGACAGTGCGACGTGGTCCTCCGACCCGGAATGCTCCGACCACATTTGTCAGGAGGGACCAAAAACACACAGACCTAATTAACCGTCGATTCCCTAGAAAATATCGGAAAATACGGGAAGTGGGGGGAAGACAAAAACTCAGAAAATATTGGAACATTTGGGGAATCCTTTTATTTGTGTCTATTTCTTGGTGTGTCCCAGAGCCCCTTCAATCTGGGAGGCCTCTGGGGGTGCCGTCCTCTCCCGGCGGATGAAGAGGGGGAGGCCTTCTCCCTTCCCTCGTTGTCCGCGCTGCGTGCCTCGTTGCCGGATGCAGCGTGCCGCCGCGGTCGCCCTCGGAGTTCGCGCGCGCGCGCTGCTGCGGTCCTTTCTCGGAGCTCGCGCGCGGGTCAGGGGGGGGAAAGAATGCGCTTCGCTCTGTGGGAGTGGAAGGAGGAGGAGGATGAGCAGTAGAAGGAGGAGGAGGAGGAGGAGGAGGAGGAGGAGGGGAGGACGAGGGGAGGGCGAGGCCAAGAGGAGGAGCTGTAGATCGGGAGGGAAGGAGAGGAGGAGGAGGAGGAGGAGCAGCAGAGGAGGAGGAGGAGGAGGAGGAGGAGGAGGAGGAGGAGGAGGAGGAGGAGGAGGGAGGGGAAACCAGGGGAGGGCGAGGGGCAGGGCAAGAGCAGGGAGTCGGGAGCGGAGTTTGCGGGGACAGATGCGAGGGAGGGCGCAGGAGGAAGCGATGAGGTGGGATGAGGAAAGGCAGGGAGAACGGGGAAGACATCGATGGTGAGGATGACGAGGTGGGGCCGACGACCAGCGAGGGCGACGGAGACGAGACTCAGGAGCACGAGAGCGATGGGGCCGAGGAAGACGTCGGGGAGGAGGAAGATGCAGGCCAGCGCCAGCACTTGCGAGGGCTGCAGCGAGGCACGTGCATATGTTAAACGCATGACCGTTCTTGCCTATAGCGTCTGCCACCTGACTGTCTGACTTGTAGAGATCTCTAGTCTGAGATCAGCAGGTTCACAAGGCATTCGCGGTGTTATTCAAGGTGCAAGCCACCGCGCGTGTTCAACACTCTCATTTTCCATCGTTGCTTCGCACAGCCACCCTTCAGGGCACCGCTATTTACACCCAGAACTGATTCGCACAGCGACCTGGACCCAGGTCGAACTATCAATCAGGTCGAACATTCAATCACTCCTGAGTGCGGCGGAGAGCCCCGATATCCGAAGACATGATTGTTTCAATCCGCGGCTCCAGAGACCCCGATCCTTTCACCCCCCAGGGGTAGTATTCTTGGCCCTGGATCTTGTTAACGACCCCTGTGCCCGATGACGGCCTTCGCGGTCCAAAATCAGGGAAGAAGGTGTGGATTGAAAAAACACATCGTCGGAGATCAATTCCTCGGAAGTTGCATTCAGCATCGGCGCTGATATGTTTGGGGTCGACATCCGGCCGAACTCAGATTCATTCTGCTCGATCCCGTTGATTTCGGCTGTATGTGTTTTCATCCCTGGCGCAATGCGGGTTTAGCCGTCCCAGCGACATTCCAATCGGGCACAGTAGCCCTGAATCGATACGAGTCCCCCCAGCAGTTGCCTGCCAGCAGTTGCCTCCCCAGATCCCGACTCCCTCCCTGGGAGTCGTTTGTCTTCGCAGAGCCATGTTTTGACTGTCCCTGGGCCCGCTGAAAGGCCCCGTAGTGCAAGATCAAAGTCAGGAGGGGAAAAAACACACAGACACAATTAATCGGTAACTCCTTAGGAAAGATGGGGAAATACGGGAAGTGGGGGGGAAGACAAAAACCAAGAAAATACGGGATATATATATATATATATATATATGTATATATATATATATTTAGGGAATCCTGTGAACTGTGTGTATTTCTTGGTGTGTCCCAGGGCCCCTTCACAGAGGCCAATGCCCAGACTGCAAAGACGAAGATGGTTTTACTCCGTGCGGGGTCCCCAGAGGGTCGGACCCTGGCTCGAGGGCCTGTTTTGTCGACGAGCCGAAATCCTTCACATCAGTAATTTTGGGCATCGGAGCCCACAGGGCGGTTTTCATGTTTTCCATTCGACGTTCCATGAAGCCCGATGTCATTCCGAGGCCGCGCGTCGAACGTTTTCGATGGCGCGTCGCGTTATGCGATGTCACGTGCGTTGGGGTCGTCACAGGCTTGCGTGCTTGTTGCGGATCGGTTGATGTGGGCTGGGGTTTCTCAGGATTGTACATTTGCTTTGCACTGGGGCGGTTTCGACACCCATCCCTGGCTGATCCACCCCGCGGGTAACGTCGCAGGAAGAGTTCGATCATTTCGTTCGTAGTGCCAGCGATGTTGTCGCGGACATTGACCGCGCCACGGGGGGGGTCGTCCAGAAATCCCCTACCATATTGCAGTGCTGGTTTTTCGTTTTGAAGAGACACCGCCCCGCGTCATTCCTTCCGGCCCCCTCCCTCGTCCTCCCTCTTCGCGTATCTGCCCCTGCTCTCCGCGTGTCCCCGTCGTCATCGTCCATCGTCATCGTCGCCGTCACCATCATCATCAGCATCATCAACATTCTCGTCGTCTCCATCATCAGTACCACCACCATCCTCATCAACATCATCAAAACACCCCCCTTGTTCCCCCGCGTCTCTGCTTCGCCACATCCCCCGCAAGTCTCGTGGCCTTGTGAGGTGCTCCACCGAAGGCCCCATCGGCAGGGTCCTTAGTGCGCCGCCCAGCCCATGTCGGCACGCCCCTCAGACGCTTCGTGTCCCCATGAGGAGCTCATCGGAGGTCCCGGCGGCAAGGTCCACATGCCGTCGCCCAGGCCACATTGATGACACCCTCAAACATTTCGTGCCCCCATAGGCAGCTCCACCAAAAAAAGGTCCCAGCGGCAGGTTTCCCAGGCCGCCGCCCAGCATATTTCGGCATACGTTTCACACGTTTCGTGGCCCCACGGGGAGCTACACCGACGGCCCCACAGGCAGGGCCCACAGGCCGCCGCCCAGCCCATTCCGTCATACGCTCACAAGTTTCGTAGCCCCATTGGGGAGCACCCCCGATGGCCCAAGCGACAGGGTCCACATGCCGTCGCCCAGCCCATGTCGTCCACGAGTGGCGCCCAGCACGGCTCCAAGAGCGCCCCAAGAGGCGCCGAGTAAGTTGCACCCTCATGCAAATAGTTTTTGTCACTTGTGGGGGTCCTCTTGGGGCCCTCTTGGAGCATTCTTGGGGCCCTCTGGGAGCGTTCTTGGGGCCTTCCCGGGGCCCCAGTGGGCCCTCGGAGGGCCCCAAGAACGTTCCCCAAGGGCCCCAAGAGGGACCCCCCAAAGTAGTACAAAGAATTCGCGCGAACGTGCAATCTGTTGTAGGCCTTTCGGGGCCCTCTGGGAGCTCTCTTGGGGCCCCCATTGGTGGCGCCTTGGGGCCTTGGGATGGCTCCAAGAGGCTTCGGGATTGCCCAAGACCGCCACAAGACAGCTCCGAGACGGCCGTCGAGTACCACGGGTGAAACCAAGTGAGGCTAGGGAACAGGGCCTCTGGTAAGCCGCCACTGCGCCCCCTGGACTACCCAGACAGCGAGGGGACCTGAAACGCCCTGGGGCTCCAGGGGTCCCAGACTAGTGAAGTGAAGGTTTTTGCCATGCCAAGCACACCGACATTCTTCACTTCACTAAACCGGACCCAGGACGAACTCGCTACGCTCCAGTCCCGCGGGAGATCCGAGACTCCCGCCGCCGCCCGGGGACGCTGCTGCATTGCGGTGCTCTGGTCACTGTTAATGGCTTCGGCGGGCTGCAGCGGCTCACTTCCATGACTACCCCGATTCACGAATCCAGTGGTTGGTCTGCCTCTATGGGTTGGTTTCGTTGTGTCGGTTGATTTTATGCTTGGTTGGCGGTCGGTGGATTTCGCGTTGTTCATTGGTGTCGTGAAGTGATGTGTCGTTTGGTTGGTCAGTGCCGTTTTGTTGATTCGTGCCGTTTTGTTGGTTGGTGTCGTTTCGTTGGTTGGTGTCGTTTTGTTGTTTGGTGTCGTTTTGTTGCTTGGTGTCCTTTTGTTGGTCGGTGTCGATTTGTTGGTTTGTTGGTTGGTGTCGGTTTGTTGGTTGGTGTCGTTTTGTTGCTTGGCGTCGTCCTGGCGGCGTGGCCGATAATCGGCGGCCTGCAATGGCGCCAGGATTTGTTTCGGGCCAGCCTTGATCGCCCTCATCATTCTCATATTCGTCAGCGTCAGCACTCGTCGCCCCCATCCGCGCACACATGCGGCCCTGGTACGGCTCTCACGCGGCCCTGCGAAGGCCTTCACTGTGCTCCCCAAAGCTTTCTGAGGGGCCCCCCAGAGGCCCCAAGAGGGCACTGGAAATTGTCGCTTCCAACTCCGCCAGGCGGAGGTCAACAAGGGTCTCACTGGTGCACTTCCAGGAATCGTCGTTCGATCCTCTTGGGGCCCTCCTGGGGCCTTCTGGAGCCGTCTTGGAAGCTCCGAGCGGCTCCATGAAGGCGCCGGGCGATATCGCTTCCAATTCCGCCAGGTGGAGTTAGACCAGGGGCTCACTGAGGCCCCTTTTTGCGCCCTCCTCTGCCTTTGAAAAAGCCCCGATGGGGTTCTTCAGTGCCGTCTTAGGGCCCCTAAGAGGCCTCCAGTAGGGTATCGAAGTTATCGCTTCCAACTCCGCCACGCGGAGTTGAACCCAGGGCGGCTCTCTGTGGCCCTTTCGGGGCCTTCTTAGAGCTTTTCTGAGGCCCTAAGTGGGCCCTGGGAGGTGTCATTTTCACGGGCGTTGAAAGTGACACCGCGGAGGGCCCTCTTGGGCCCTTCTTGGGGCCTCTCTTGGGTCCCTCTGGGAGCCCCTCTTGGTGCCGCCCTGGGGCCTTCTCGGGGCCTTCTTGGAGCCTTTCTGGTGCTCTTTAAGTGGGCCCTGGGAGGTGTCACTTTCACGGGCGCTGAAAGTGACACATCGAAGGGCCCGCTTTCCCTCGTAGCGCTGCCCGTGGCCAGGGCATTGTGCAGCGCATCCCTCGTCGAACGCATTTTGCCGGACGCGTGGTCAAATTCCGCCAGTTCGGTCGAGATGGTGGTCAATCGGTTCGGTTGCAATGTAGCCATGCGGATCTGAGCTTACCATTTCTTGCCATTTTGGCGGGGGCTCGCAGGAGCGTTTGTGTTGTGATCAATTGTGCTCGATATATCCAGCGGCAGCGTTTCATCCCAACACTTTAGGTTGAAAAAAGTCAGCAGGGGCCAAATTGGTGATGTGAAGCAACATAGGTCTCGTATTTTGCATGGTGCGTGGTTCTCGTTGGCGGTCTTGGAGCCCAGGATGGGCTTAAGTCGGGCCTGTCCCTCTACAGGAGGAATATTATTCTGCCTGTTCGCTGCCCCGCGACTGGGGAAGGAATCGGGAAGGAACTGTTTTGCCTCCAAGTCCAAGGCGGTGTTTCCTGTGCTGGCAACATATGCCTCGTGTGGGGTGCCTCATGGAGCTGCAGGCCGGCCGGCCTGGCCAGGTCCGTGGCGACCCAGGAATGGCCGCCAAGAGCACTGGCCAGGCGCAGCCCCGCAAACAGTAGTCTGGGGATTGTTTTTTGACTATTTTTGAGCATTTTTTGGGGCACTGTTTTACAGTATGTTTTATGCTTCTTCGGAATTCCCCCTGTAGGGGGACACGCCCGACTTAAGGATAGGCTCGAGAGGCCGAAAACTACAAAACAGTTTGGCTTTGATTGTTTGGTTTTATTTATACACAGAATTCCCCCCCTGGCATAGCTGGAAAGTCAGGTGTGCTTGGCGACGCGCGCCCGAGGCCTCAAAAAGAGAAAGAGAGAGAGAGAGAGAGAGACGTCGGCCCGTGGGCAGACCAGCGCCGCTCACTCGGAGCGAGTAGGACCAGTGGCGGCACCACCGAGTCAGGTTCGGGCCATTGTGTCATCTGCAACAGGAGTCTCGAAAGTCTGCGGCCATAACAGCTCGTGCGATCGTTCGTGCTGGATCGTTCTGGTTGCGGGCATACTGAGTGGCATTCGGCATCGCTGGTCCGCGAGAGCAGCCACGCTCCAGGAACCACAGGGTGAATTGTTGCATTTCTTTTTGCGACCCCGTTACGAAAGATCCCTTTTGCCTTGAGTCGGACATGTCCCTCTACATCGGGAGAATCGAAGAATAGTAAAAAAGTAGTCTGGGAACGACGTTTATATAATGTTCAACTCTGTGTGAACATGTGCATATTTTTTAAGCCAAAATCCGCTTGTAGGAGGACATGCCCGTCCTAACTGTTGCCCAGAACCAACTGAGGGGGGCACGGTGAGCTGTTGGGGGCGAGCCGCGTCGAGCATCTTCAGCGAAGTGTGTTCGCACAGCGACGTCTTGGCGCCAAATCTGCGCGCGTCAAAACGTCGGATCGGAAGAGAAGACGGTCGTGAGAAGGGGGCAGGGGGGGGGAGGATGAGGTGGAAGGATGAGGGAGCCGCGATAGCAGTGCTTTATTCAAAACGAGACGCCCACGCAGGAAGGTTCCCAGGTACGCGACTTCACGATTCGTTCGTAACGCCGCCGACCCCGGAGGTGTCGGCTTATTCCCCAGGACCCGTTTCTCATCCCGAGCCGTTCTTTGACAGCTCATTTGCCTGGCGCGGGCCCCCAAAGGCCAAGCAAGACTGGCGAACAACCTTCCGCCATGTCCCGAGGAGGTCTGGGTTGTGTCGAAAAAGACAGAAGACATAAGCTTAACATTTGGGCTCTCTGCGCCGATGTCTTGGATCTGCGCTGGGCCCCCCTGGCGGCGCCTCTGGCGCCGCCCCTGGCGCGCTCCGCGCGCCAGGGCGGGGCTTCCAGCGAAGATCCAAGAAGTACGCGCGGAGCGCCAAAAGTTTACCTGGCATCGCTCGGACGTGTGCATTTGTTCTCGGCGAGAACCATCGAGGACCATCCTGGACCATCGAGCACAAAAACACGCACGACACCGGACAAAGCACGGGAAATGGACGTCCGAGCGATGGCAAGTTTATGTTTATGCAGTTTTTTCTTCTACGGGGAGTACGTCGGTTCCTGTCGGCCCGTCCCTCGGTCCGAATCGGAACCGCGCGGGCTGGTGCAGTAGAGGCATTCGTTCGAATTGTTTGATTCCGTTTATGCGAATGCCCTTCCCGCCGTGATTTTATATATTGCACCAGAAGTGCGGAAAGATTGGAGGATCCACTCTTTGGGCAGATCGCGACGTCGGAAGGTTTTCTCAGGTGCCCCCCAGATGCAGACACAGTCACAAAGCAAGGTTTGCCCCAAATCAGGGTCCGGCCGCGATGCAGCCTTGGGGTAAGAAAGCATCGCGCGTTTCGGACAAACTCATGGGCTAAACATGTCTTGCCTTCTGGGTTGCGCTTTGCGCCACGTTTTGGCGCGACCTCGGGACGTCCTGGTCGTCGTTTTGGGAAGTGTTTCGCCGCTTGCAGTCGGTCTTCGGCTGGGATTCGGACGAGGGTAAGCGCTCCAGAGCGCTGTGAAAAGGCTGCGGCGCCAGAGACATCCTCAAGAGCCACCGGATCTCAGATATTCTCGATCTCTCCTCACCAGATTTTCGGGTAGATGGAAACGGGTACGGGAAGAATGGGTACCAACGCCCAACACTAGTTCCTGGTCATTTAGAACAGGACTCGCTCTCCGCGCCGCCGCGGATGTTGCATATTGAAGACAAGAAGCCCCCTGCCCAACTGCGGCCGGAGTACTCGGCGTTGGACGACATTGGTTGTTGGGCATTGTGCGAATGTTTCCGTACCCATTTCAGGCGTCCAAAGATTCAGACATGCGACGTTTTGATTTTTTAAATTCGGGGCCCCTGGAAGTCCCGACCCGTTCACCGGGACCAGTTTTTCATCTTGAGTCGTTTTTTGATAGTCCCGAGGCCCAGCAAGGGCCCCCAGGGGCCGCAAACGCCCAAAAAATTCCCGTCCTGATTTCTTTACGACGCGATCATGTCTGGGAAGATCTTGTCTTCGTCCAAGCTTCGTCCTGAATGAGCTCTCCTTGGGCGCGGCGCGGCGAGGCCGCTCCCGGCACGCGCTTGCTCAGGGAGGGGGAGGCAGTAGGAGGAGAAGAGGGAGGCTGAGGAGGAGGAGGAGGAGGCGGAGGAGGAGGAGGAGGAGGAGGCGGAGGAGGGGAGGAGGAGGAGGAGGAGGGGGAGATGGAGAAGGAGAAGGAGGAGGGAGGAGGAGGCGGAGGAGGAGGAGGAGGAGGAGGGAGGGAGGAGGAGGAGGAGGAGGAGGAGGAGGAGGAGGAGGAGGAGGAGGAGGAGGAGGAGGAGAGGAGGAGGGGGAGGGGGAGGAGGAGGAGGAGGGGAGGAGGAGAGGAGGAGGAGGAGGAGGAGGAGGAGGAGGAGGAGGAGGGGGAGGAGGGGGAGAAGGTCGGGGAGGAGGAGGACGGGGAGGAGGAGGAGGAGGAGGAGGAGGAGGAGGAGGAGGAGGAGGAGGAGAAGAGGGAATAGGAGGAGCAGGAGGAGGAGGAGGAGGAGGAGGAGGAGGAGGAGGGAGGAGGAGGAGGAGGGAGGAGGAGGAGGAGGAGGAGGAGGAGGAGGGGGAGGAGGAGGAGGAGGAGGAGGAGGAGGAGGAGAGGAGGAGGACGGGGAGGAGGGGGAGGAGGAGGAGGAGAGGAGGAGGAGGAGGAGGAGGAGGAGGAGGAGGACGGGGAGGAGGGAGGAGGAGGAGGAGGAGGAGGAGGAGGAGGAGGAGGAGAGGAGGAGGCGGAGGAGGAGGAGGGGGAGGAGGGGGAGAAGGAGGCGGAGGAGGAGGAGGAGGAGGAAGAGGAGGAGGAGGAGGAGGAGGAGGAGGAGGTTGAGGAGAAGGAGGAGGTTCACTGCCCATAGAGGGAAATAGGTCCAGGGGTGAGAGAGGAAAAACGGGGTGGGTTCGCCTATCCAAGGAGGCTTTTGTCAGGCCCACCCAGAGGTTCCATCCCTCTGGCAGGGCCCCCGACAAGGCGACCCCACCCCCACACAGCGCTAGCCGAACTCTCCAGCTTCGGCTTCGCACTCTTCCCAGGATTTGAGAGCCTGGGCCTCAGCGCGGGCCTGGACAGCCCTCAACCCGAGCTCCTCAGCTTCGGCCCGAGTCTCGAACCCGAATGCCTTCAAACAGGCTTCCATGCCGAGCCGAGGAGCGGCCCTTTGCTGCGAGAACGCTGGGAGCCTGCTGGGGGGCCGACTGGCCCCTTCCGCGTCAGCTCCGAAATGATCTTGCCAGCGTTCCCGAGTGGCTGTGGAAGGGGCTTGGGGCTCGTCTAGAGCCAGTCCCTCCTCCGTGGGGTGCATGCGCCCACGCAGCCGCTTCGGACGGTGTACGCCGAGCCGCCAGTGACCCGCCGAGGGCCAAGGCAGGGACTGCAAAGGCCCCGTTGTTTACGATGCACAGCGAACTTGTAGCACGTCGTGCAACAAAAGGATCGGCTCCTGCCCAGCGACACCTGCTTCTAGAACCGAGTTTTGGTTGACCAGCCATGGGCGCCTAGGCCCGAGACCGTGGAGGAGGAAGAGGGGGAGGAGGAGAAGGAGGAGAAGGAGGAGGAGGAGGAGGAGAAGGAGGAGGAGGAGGGGGAGCAGGAGGAGGGGGAGGAGGAGGAGGAGGAGGATCTTGTCCTCGTCCCAGCTTCGTCTTGAGTGCGCCTCTCTCCTTCGGGCGAGGCGCCGCGCCCGGCGCGCGCAGGCCCCTGCGCGTCACGGCGGCGAACGTCGGGGACTCGCGCGCGGTGCTCTGCCGCGCGGGCGAGGCGGTGGCCCTGTCGGAGGAGCCCCCGGGCGGCCGGGCGTGGCTTGGCCGGCCCCATGCAGGCGCTGAGCCGGGCTCGTGTCCCTCCCTATAGAGGAGTGTGCGAGGGGGGCACGGAGCACGAGTGCGGGCGGGGAGGAGCAGGTGGTGGGCATCCCCCTCCCTCAGTATACTATTCCTCCTCCTCCTCCTCCTCCTCCTCCTCCTCCTCCTCCTCTTTAGCATACCATTCCTCCTCCTCCTCCTCTTCCTCCTCCTCCCCCTCCTCCTCCTCCTCCTCCTCCTCCTGCTTTCCCCCCTCCCCTTTTCTAGAACTCAGGGGATCGTCATCTGGCGCGGCACCGACGGCTTGCTGGGTCGGGGCCGTCGTTGCAGGGGTTGAGTTGGCCGTGGCTGCAGATCGCAAGCAGAAAAAGCCCGGCCTGCTCCAGGCGTTGAGCCGGAGGAGGAGGAGGAGGAGGAGGACGAGGAGGACGAGGAGGAGGAAGGGGACGACGAGGAGGACGCGAAAGCCGGCCGAGGACCAAAAGCCCGGCTGCCCGGAGGAGCGGGCGCGCATCGAGCAGGCCCGTGCCTGCTGCCTCGGCCGGCCGGGCGCCCTCGCGGCGGCTGCGCGGCGCGGGCGCGGGCGCGGCCTTCGGCGGCCGTGGCCCCCGCCCGTCGGGGACTGCGGCCCCGCCATCGCCTCGGGGCCCGGACTGCCTCCTCGCGCGGCCGTGGGTGGGTGGTGGGTCGGCGCCAGCGTCGGCTGCAGACCCGCGCTCCCGCGGAGCGCTATTCTCCTCCTCCTCCTCCTCCGCCTCTTCCTCCTCCTCCTGGGGCTCGGAGAACTCCCTCCGCCGCCGCTCTCGCTCTCCTGTGGTCTTTTTCCAAGCCCCAGGTCAATCTCGACGCAGCGAGGGCGGCGCTGCGGGAACTCACCCTGACCAAGCCAGAGGACTCCGCGCAGGCTGGGTTGGCGGGGATCGTACTCTACGAAATCAGTCGCCGAAGAAGCCAACCCAGGCATGAAGCGTAAGGAAGAGATGCTCAAGACACATATGAGATAGAACAACTGGCACGACAAGCTCTGCGAAAGCAGCGCGTCGGATGTAGCCTGAGCTGTTCAGTATTTGCGGCTGGGTCTGCATGCCGACGTCGGGGATCCTGGTCAAGATCGACCTTCACGTCGGCTGCGTTGTGGGCCCGGTGATCGAGACGCTCATGCTGGTGGAGGGGGGCCCCTTTCGGGGGCGGCCCCGTGCAGCCCGCTTCGGAGACAGATCTCGATGCATTTGGACCGCGAGGCGCAGATAGAAGCAGCAGCAGCGAGGACGTAGTCGCACGCCGTTGGGGGGGGGGGCACGATGAGCAACAGTTCGAGAGTTGCTTCACTATTGGCAGCATGTCGGGTCGCTCAACAGCAAGTGCCTCTGGAGGTCGACAGACGTCTGGTGGGGTAGTCCTGGAGGCTTCGCAGTGGCAGCAGCTCCCGGTATTCCCACAACTCATATGGAGTTCTCGAATCATGGCCGTGGCGGCCGACACCCAGGGCAGGGGGGCGGGGGGTCAGCTCTGGCGGGCGGACGTGCTGGCCCCCTTGTCGGAGGGCGGCCTGCCCATCGAGGCGCCCGTCGGCCGGTGCAGTTCTCGCTGTGAGCCTCGGAGGGGGTGCACTGAGCGTCGCCTGGTTTCGAAGGGACCCTATCTGAGCGCAGTCCTGTTTTTTTTCCTGGTAGCCGGTTGGTCAGCGTCGACAGGGATTCCATGAGGATCTGAACTGCTCTGTTCTGGCTTTTCCTCGTCATCCTCTTCTGCCTTCCCCTGCTCCTCCTCCTTTCCCCTACCTCTTCGGCCGCCTCCTCCCTCGCGTTCGTCGTCCCTCCGCTTCGTCCTCCTCCCCCCCCTTTTGGTCCCCCCTCCTTCGTCGTCCTCCTCTGCCTCCTCGTCGTCGTCTTCCTCCTCCCCCCCCCCCTCCTCTTCCTCCTCCTCCTCCTCTTGCTCCTCCTGTCTCCTCCCTCTCCTCCTTCTCCTCCTCCTCCTCCTCCTCCTCCTCCTCCTCCTCTTCCTCCTCCTCGTCCTTTTTCCTCCCCCCCTTCTTCCCCCTGCCTTCCTCTTGACGACTTGGCGCATCAACGCAGCCGCAAGAGACCGCGCGCCAGGTTTGCTCAGTTCCGCCTTGGCCTTGGGACTGTCGTGCGAGAGTGGCCTGTATACGGCGAAGGGCGGTGACCAAAATGGGGGCGGTGATCCCTGAAGGCTCTTCCCTCCTCCCTCCTCGTCCGTCGCCCTTCCTCCCCGAGGCCGCCGCCAGCAGAGTGCGGCGCCAGGAGGTGTGCCCCGTGAGTCTTCGCGGGCTCCGGGCGCGCTCTCGGCCGCGCAGATTGTGGCGTCTCACGCGCTCCTCCTGCTTTCCCTCGTCGTCGTCGTCATCGTCCTCCTCATACTTCTACGTCTCGCCCTCTCTTCTTCCTCCTCCTCCTCCTCCTCCTCCTCATCATCATCATCATCATTATCATCATCATCATCATCATCATCATCATCATCATCATCATCATCATCATCATCATCATCATCATCATTATCATCATTATCATCATCATCATCATCATCATCATCATCATCATCATCATCATCATCATCATCATCATCATCATCCCCGTCGTCGTCGTCGTCGTCGTCTCCTCGTCGGGAGTTGGGCATCGAAGCCTGGAGCAGTTCACAGACACACTGCCGCCCTTGGAGTGGGAGGGCGTCGACACCAGCGGCTTGCCCACCACGGACAAGCAGCTGACTCTCCAGGCGTCGGCTTCTGATCGGGCCCGCGTGTGGCGTGATCCTACGGACGCAGCCCAGGACGTGAAGGCCATAATGACTAAGTGCCTTCAGGTGGCCCGCGGGTCGCCCTTGGTCTCCATCGCGATGTTGGATGTGGACGCCGTGGTGCCGAATACTGCTGCGAAAAAGGCGGGGGGTGTCGACGTCGTGAGCCCGATGTGCAGTTGCAGCCCACGGAGGCAACGCAGCTGCTCGTGGACATTTTGAACGCTGTGGAGGTGGCTGGCACCTGGCCGTCGTGTTCGCGTGCATTTCTGGGCGCCGCCATCCCCAAGGCGTCGGGCGGCAACAGGTTGATTGGCATTGCGCCGACGTTGCAAAAGGTTTGGTCCAAGATACGCACCAAGGCGTCGGGGAATTGGTCGTCCTCCATGTCGGCTTTCTGAGACCCCGCGATCGCGGAATCTCAGCTTTGCGGGCGGCCCTCATGCGTGCTGTGATGGACGAGGGTGATCGGGGGTTGGACTTTGAGTATGCCGCGCTTTCTTGGATTGAACCAAGCTCCATGATTTGGTGAGCTTCGTGTTGTTGATGCAGGCCCGCCTCGGGATTGGGCTTCTTGCAATCATCATGGTGTTGGATGTGGGCATGTATGCTTCCCCGAGGCTGTTGAAGGAAGGCCAGATGATCTCCGGTGAGGTAGCCGTTTCTCGATCTATCGTTGCTGGCTCAGGGCACGGCGTCCCTCTGGCCAAGGTCATGCTGCACCAGCCCCTCGACAATGTCCACTGGCATTGCTTGCCCCATGGCTGTGGGGATACGTCGACGTCTGCGCGGGCAGCACGGGGGGCGCGAAGTTTCGGATGGCCGAGGACTTCGACGAGACCGCGGACGCCTTTGCCGCCGGGCTACGTCGTCTGCCGCTGCGGATCTCGGACAAGACGAAGCTGGTCCTGAGCTCCGACGAGATCGGGGTGGAGTTGGAGCGGCGCCCCGCCAAGGAGGGCATCCTTTACCAGGGCGTTCGCGCCGCGGGCGGCCTCGGCTCGGGCAGCGCAGCTGGGCGCAAGAGGGCCACGGTGCGCATCGTGAAGCGTCGGGCTCGGTCGCGCAGCAGGCGATGCGCATGAGGCGCTTGCCGCCGAGCGAGTTCGGTGCGGAGAAGCTGTTCAGCACGGGCGTCTTGCTTGCCGCTGTCTTCGGCCGCCAGATCATGGGCCCCCCGCCGTCAGCGCTGTTGTCCATGCGCCGCGCTGCTGCGGCTGGTGTCGACGCGACCGTTGCTTGACGACGGCGCCGCAGGCGGTGCGTGGCGTGACTGGCCCTGGCATCGACTCGAGGAGGCAGTTGCTCAAGGAATGGGTCGCCCTCTGGCTTGCGCAGCCAGCGCTGCATCCCGGGATCGTTAAGGCCTAGCCGCGGGTCTCGGGTATGCTGCGCCAGAGATGGGCGGTCAGGCGGCGAAACGTTCGCGGCTCACTGCCGCGATGCAGGCGACGTTCATCCAAGCGGGTTGGGGCCCGCAGTCGCCTGAGGTCTGGCCCCGCCCCCTGTCGACTGGCACGACTGACGACTGGCCCCCCCCCAGCTTCGGCGACGAGCAGCTCGCCAAGGCGGCCCCGCCCACCCCGGGGGACATCTCGGCGCCTTCCGGGATGACTGTTTTCCCCCCGCAGCGGCCGCAGCGGCCGCCGGGCACGCTGCTTCCTAGGCCCTCTCGGGAGGCGGGGCCTCGACGACCGCGCGCGCCGAGCCGAAGTGCCTCGCGAGGAGGGCGGAGAGCTCGACGAGCGGGCAGCCGACCTCGCCGTCGTCTCTCCGGCGGCCGCGGGCGCGAGCGAAAGGCAGAACCAGGCAGGGCGCGAGGGCGCGCCGCGGCGCCCTCTCGCCGTGGGCGGGGCCCTCCCTCGCAGAGCGCGGTCGTGCCCGGGGCAAACTGCACGCGCGACGATACTGCCGGGGGCGGCAATTTAGAGGGGGGTGGTGACTAGGGGGGGGGGGGGGGGGATGCTACGGCGTTGGCCATGATAGTTCCCCGGATTGCATGGCGCTTCTTCTTGTTGCATTGCGTCCCTGGCCCCCCCTTGTGGGCCGCGCACGTGCTGCCAGCCATGCTTTGCACCCCCCCACTCTTGGACGCCCCCCCCTTGGCCGCCCCCGATGTTGCGAAGACTGATGGGAGTTTTCCCCGGGCCTCCCGTGGGCCGCGAGGCTCAACCGGCTTTGTGGCCGCGAGGCGTGCCCCAGAAGGATCGCACGGTGCCCGCCCTTCTCGAGCCACCTGACGCTGTCCAGGAGGTCCTCTTGGAATCGGGGGCCACTGCCGACCCGTCGGCGCCAGCAGGTCCTCCTCTGGTCATTGCGGGCGATGGTTCTGGAGGCCCTTTTAGTGCTGACTCCCGTCGGAAGAGATGTGTCTCTGCGACGTTTGTGATTCGTCGGGATCCGTTAGCTCCGTTGCAGTGGCTTCCTCAGTGCGGAGTCGCGCAGATTCTTGCAGGTAGGACGCGTACTGTTCCCAGGTCGGAGTTATCATACAGGGTTCAGCCGTTCGTTGGTCGTTGGAGGTGTTTGCAGAGTGATCTTGTTATACGGGGGGGGCTGAGGGCTCAGGGCCGCCTCGCTCAGTGCCTTGATCCTCGCCCATCGCCTCCGCTTGGCTTGGCCAAGACGCTGGGGACGCGCCCCGGCTTCGGAGAGGGCTCCGAGGCGATCTCGGGAGAGACGTGGGCGGGTTCGTCTCGTCTTCGCCTGAGCCACCGCCTCGCTCGTATGAAGCAGCCTGGCCTCGTATGCTGCGTGCGCAGCGGTATTACGGCAACGAGCGACGGCCCACGGCTGTCCAGCCTATGCGCCCCCGCCTTTTCCCACCTCCCCCCACCCGCAGAGGGGGCGAAATGTGCTCGAATTCGTCGATGCTTGTGTCCGTCGTATCGGGGACCACCGGTGGCCATGCGGGCGGCAGCCACCCAGGATGTCGTTGAGAGGGCCTTCCTGCCGACCCCTGGCCATGCTTCCCAGAGTTCGAGGGTCGCCTCGAGGCTTTCGTGGGCGAGGTCGGTTTGTTGTGCATGAGTGTCTTCGTTTGGCTTCCGCCCCCCCGAGAGAGTCCGCGCATAGCATGACCTTCCTGGAAGAGTCCGAGGACGCGGGAGGGGTGAAGCCGCCTCAGCGTTGGCCAGGGTGCGAAAGCGTATCTGTCTCGCGAGTGTTGCCACCCTCCTCAGGCCTGAGCTTGAGAAAGGTGGAGAGAGAGCGGGCGGGGGCTCCCCCCCCCGTCCTGGCGCCTCATCACCGTGGGCCCCGCGGGCTGCCCCCCTCCCAGGGTCTGTGGCTGGCTGTGCGACTGGCGAGGGGTATGATTGAGGAGGGTCGCCCACACCAGAGTTCTCCTCCTCCTCCTCCTCCTTCTCCTCCTCCTCTTCCTCCTCCTCCTCCTCCTCCTCCTCCTCCTCCTCCTCCTCCCCCTCCAGTTCCTCCTCCACCTCCTCCTCGTCCCTCGTCCCTCGTCGTCGGCCGCCGTGCCCCGCCGCGCCATGCCCCCGTGCCGCCTCGGGTCCAAGGCGGAGACTCGTGCATTGCAGATTTCCCGTCGTGCCCCCCAGGGGCACCGTCAGGGGGGGGGGGTTCTCCGAAGGGCTTAGGCGACCCGTCCTGCTTCTCCTCCCCTCCCCCTCCTCCTCCTCCCCTCCTCCTCCTCCTCCTCCTCCTCCTCTCCTCTCCTCCTACTCCTATCCTTATTCCTTATTAGAATATACTCCTACTCCCCCCTCAGGCCGGCAGATAGGGGGCCGCATCCGGGTGGTCCCATCCTAACCTGTAAAAAACAATACAAAATCAACATTTTTCTTATTTTTTCCTCTCGACATGGACGTCCTGTCGTCCACGGCGATAATCCATTGCAAAAAATACCACAAAGAGCACACGCGCGCGTTCATGTCAGAATCCTACCGAACACCGTGTGTTTGCAAGCATTTCAACATAAAAACATCAAAAACCCAATGTTTTTTTTCACAAAAATTCTACAAATTTCCTGCCCGGGCTCTCTTGCTGAAATCATAGGAAAACCATAAGAATCTTAAGAATTCTGTCAAATCCAGCGATTTCACGTCATCGCGCGGTGCACTCGCGATGCTCTGTCATGCACCCAGGCCGCGAATCCTGTGCAAAAAATACCACGCGGGCGACATGCGCGCGCGTCGCCGCGAGCGCATGCTCAAATCCTTATAGAGTCGTCGCCGTCATTGGCACCGTCGCATGGACGTCCTGTCGTCCGCGTCGCAAAATGCATGGCAGGAATGGGACCCGGCTTACCGGGCCGTTCTCGACACGGCCACCTCTGGCTTCCTGCGGTGTACCGGGCCATTCTCGACTCGTCTGGCAATGCGTGCGCGGCATTCAACACGCGCTCGCCAGTTCCCGTCGGCAACCGCCATCGCGGCCGCATCAGCTGTACCAAACCGGCTGGCCGGTGTGACTTCGGCCCCCAGTTGTGCCAGCTTTGCTTCTTATGTTGTGGGAGGGCGGGTGGGACTGGGCATGCCATGCTTGACCCGCTCGAGCTGGCTAGCTTGACTCCTACTCCTACTCCTACTCCCACTCCTATCTTCCTCCTCCTCCTCCTCCTCCTCCTCCTCCTCCTCCTCCTCCTCCTCTTACTTCTACCCCTACTTCTACTCCTACTCCTACTCCTACTCCTCCCCCTCCTACTCTTACTCTTACCCTTACTCCTACTCCTACTCCTACTCCTACTCTTATCCTTATTCCTTATTAGAATACACTCCTACTCCCCCCTCAGGCCGGCAGATAGGGGCCCCATCCGGGTGGTCCCATCCTAACCTGTAAAAAAACATTACAAAATCAACATTTTTCTTATTTTTTCCTCTCGACATGGACGTCCTGTCGTCCACGGCGATAATCCATTGCAAAAAATACAACAAAAAACACACGCGCGCGTTCATGTCAGAATCCTGCCGAACACCGTGTGTTTGCAAGCATTTCAACATAAAAACATAAAAAAAACAAATGTTTTTTCACAAAAATTCTACAAATTTCCTGCCCGGGCTCTCTTGCTGAAATCATAGGAAAACCATAAGAATCTTAAGAATTCTGTCAAATCCAGCGATTTCACGTCATCGCGCGGTGCACTCGCGATGCTCTGTCATGCACCCAGGCCGCGAATCCTGTGCAAAAAAATACCACGCGGGCGACATGCGCGCGCGTCGCCGCGAGCGCATGCTCAAATCCTTCTAGAGTCGTCGCCGTCATTGGCACCGTCGCATGGACGTCCTGTCGTCCACGTCGCAAAATGCATGGCAGGAATGGGACCCGGCTTACCGGGCCGTTCTCGACACGGCCACCTCTGGCTTCCTGCGGTGTACCGGGCCATTCTCGACTCGTCTGGCAATGCGTGCGCGGCATTCAACACGCGCTCGCCAGTTCCCGTCGGCAACCGCCATCGCGGCCGCATCAGCTGTACCAAACCGGCTGGCCGGTGTGACTTCGGCCCCCAGTTGTGCCAGCTTTGCTTCTTATGTTGTGGGAGGGCGGGTGGGACTGGGCATGCCATGCTTGACTCGCTCGAGCTGGCTAGCTTGACTCCTACTCCTACTCCTACTCTTTTTCCTTTTCCTCCTCCTCCTCCTCCTCCTCCTCCTCCTCCTCCTCCTCCCTCCTCCTCCTCTTCCTCCTCCTTCTCCTCCTCCCCCTCGTCCTCCCCTCCTTGTGTCGCCTACGGCCCTGGGGCAAACCGTCCAGTAGGGCGGGGGGGCTTTGGGGAGGGGTGGGGGCGACCCTGGATGGCAGGGGCCTGCCTCAGGGGGGGGGGGGGGGGGGCGAAGGATTGTTGTACAGTCGGACGGGGTGCAAGATCGGGTCGGGGGTGTGCTGAGTTTTCCTCCTGCTCCCTGGGCCGCCGATCCTCCCTGTGGAGCAGCGAGGCTGCCGTTCTCGACAGGGGGGCCCACTGCAGCACGAGACCGCGCTGCTGCGTCCGCGGTCGAAAGCCGACCAGATCCAGAACACTGGCGCTAGGGTGGGCCCGAGGTTTGTGTTGTTCCAACCTGATTTAGCCCTGATCGCCAGAAAAAATCTCGAGCGCCAAGACAGTACCGAAAGCGGGCCCTGGGAGGCGGCACTCGCTCGACACTGTTTCGACACGTTTCCAGGTGCTCGAAATTATTTCTGGGATGTGGTCCTTAAGTACGATGAGAGCAACCGTTTTTTTTGATAAGCGTGGGGGGGGACCCCCTCGACGGGGGTCAGCCTCGCCTCGCCGTCGCGCCGCGGTGGGGGGTCGGAGCGCCTTCGGCGCGCGGTGGCTGCCCGCGACGGGGGTCGATGTGGGGCCGTCGGCGGGGGTGACGTCCCCCCGACGCTTATTTAGAGTTATGATACTATGATGTTCCAACTTATTTTATTTAGACCACTAGAAATAATTTCGAGCACCAGGAACAAGTACCGAAACTCGAGGGTTTTCACGTGTCGGGCCCTGGGAGACATTGTTTCGACACTGTTTCGACACTCTTTTTGACACTTTTCCGGGTGCTCGAACTTATGTATAGGATGTGGTATTTAAGCACGAGGGGATGAACATCAATTTTGACTCTCGAAGTAATGTTCGTGGTTGTTGGATGCTCTTGTGCATCCTGGGGAGGGTACCCTTGGATGTTCTGTGCGATCTGGCCGGCGGAGGGTCTCGTGTCCTTTAGGGACGTTCTCTTGGCTTGGCTTCAGCTGCAAATCCAGCTCGATCCCGCTCGATCCAGTGCGCAATCTGAGCCAATCTGGTCCTTGCCCCTGAATCTGGCTCGTCAGCCCTTCCTCGTTCTAGCGAGGACCCTTCAGCAGTTGCCTCTTGTCGGAAACTGGAGCATATACATTACCAGTGGCGGGTTGTTTTTCAATCCCTGGACTTCCTGCAGGGTCGGCCACGACGTCGGGGTGGTGTGGTGTACGCCTGTTTCCCCGTCTTCCGGGGGAAACAGCGAGACATGTGTACGTCGTATACACCAGGATCCGCTTTCCTGTGCGTCTTTCAGCGCGTGGTTGGACACATCGTCGGTGTATAGACTTTGGCTCGTTATCTGAAAGAGCGTGTTCTACCGCTGCTGGCGGAAAACCGGGGGGGGTCACTACCGGTTCGAACCCCTCCCCCCCCCCCCCCCTCCGGAAAACCGGGGGGGGTCACTACCGGTTCGAACCCCCCCCCCACCCCCCCCCCCCCCCCCCCATCATCATGAAAAAGGGGGGGGGGTCACTACCGGTTCGAACCCCTCCCCCCCCCCCCCTCCGGATCCGGAAAACCGGGGGGGGTCACTACCGGTTCGAACCCCCCCCCCCTCGAAAACCGAGTGGGGGTGCGGACAGTGGTGGGGACGGTGTTGGTGGGGACAGTGGTGAGGGGATAGCGGGACAGTGGTGGGGACAGTGGGACAGTGGGACAGTGGTGGGGACGGTAGTGGTGGGGACAGTGGTGGGGACAATGGTGGGAACAGGGGGGGACAGTGGACAGTGGTGGTGACGGTGGTGGTGGGGACAGTGGTGTGGGGACAATGGGAATGAGGTGGAAACAGTGGGACAGTGGAGGGTACAATGGTGGTGGGGACAGTGGTGAAGGCGGTGGCGAGGACGGCGGTGGGACAATGGGACAGAGGTACAGTGGGGACAGTGGTGGGGACAGTGGGGACAGTGGTGGGAACAGTGGGACAGCTCAGTGGGACAGCGGAGGAGTCAGTGGGACAGTGGGGACAGTGGGGATAGTCGGGCAGTGGTTGGGGCCGTGGAGACAGTGGGGAGAGTGGAACCGTGGTGGGAACAGTTCTGGGGACAGCGGGGACAGTGCGACAGTGGTGGGGCCACTGGTGGGGACAGTAGGGGCGGTGGTGGAACCAGTGGGGACAGCGGTGGTGAGGACAGTGGTGCTGGGAACACCAGTGGGGGATGTGATGCGGACGGTGGTGGGGACCGGGAGTCGTTTGCTGGCGGTGAGTAGGGAGGGGGGGGGGGGAGGGGTTCGAACCGGAGTGACCCCCCCGGTTTTCCGGATCCGGAGGGGGGGGGGGGGGGGGGGGGGGGGGGGGTTCGAACCGGTAGTGACCCCCCCCGGTTTTCGAGCGGGGGGGGGGGGGTGGGGGAGGGGTTAGGGAGGGGGGGGGTTTTGCCGGGGGGGGGGGGGGGGGGGGAGGGGAGGGGTTCCAGCAGGGGGGGGGGGGATTTTCGGAGGGGGGGGGGGGGGCGCCCCCGGGTTCTGGAGGAAAAGGTTGGCAATTTTCCACAGTAAAGCGGCGGTGGATCACGCTCTCTCCGTTATCTTTAGCGTCGCCCTCGTCCTCTCGTTGGGTCCGCCCAGCTCCCTCTGCCGCTGCTCTCTCCCGGCGTTCGGCAGCCCGCTCCCTGGGAGAGGCCGGTGGCCACGTGGCCGTCGTGGGGCCGTGCGAGCGGATCGACGGCTGGGGCCTGAACTTGCACCGCGCTCGGACCGGGGCCCCTGCGCCTCCTGCTTCGCCTCCTCCTCCTTCGCCTCCTCCTCCTCCATTCTCCTGCTCCTTCTCCTCCTCCTCCTCCTCCTCCTCCTCCTCCTCCTCCTCCTCCCGCGTAGCCATTTTGGCTCAAGTCCTCGGGCTCTGGGGGCCGAGGACACCACAGCACTTCACTCCTGGTCAGGTCCAGGAGCTTGGGGCTCGAACATTTCGCGTTCGCTTCCGCCCCCAGAGTTTTTCCGATCTTTCCCCACCAGTCTGTCATGCCTGCCACTCTTGCGAAGGAGCGCCTCTCCATCGTGATCTGCGGGCATGTCGACATCGGCGAGAGCACCACCACCGCCCGCCTCAACTACGACCTGGGCGGCCTTCCGCAACGCGAGCTGGAGAAGCTGAAGGAGGAGGCCGTATGCCTAGTACCAGGCCCCATCGCCTTCACGTTCTACATGGACCGTCAGAAGGAGGAGCACGAGTGCGGGGTGACCAGCGCCTGCACCACCCAAGTCTTCTACACCGAGAAGTGGCACTACACAGTCGCCACCGATGCCCCAGGCCATCGCAATATCAACAAGGTCGCAAACCTGCAGAAGAAGGCTGACAACATGGGCTGGTGGAAGGGCTGCAATGCCAAGTGCGGCAAATGAAGTTCATGTTGGTCAAGGACGGGTGGTACAAGGACTTCGAAGAGAAGGAAACGCCTGCGATGCCAGTCTCCGGCCGGATTGGCGACTACCGACTAACGAAGTCTGACAACATGGACTGGTGGAAGGAATGCGTCGGCGAGTACGGCAAGGCCCGCGCCATGCAAAACATCCATCATAAGTCTGGATGGTTTTACCTTTTTCTCCGCTTGCCGCCTGAGGCAAGCCATGCTGCAATTTGGGCTCGCTCCTGGCCTTTGCATTCCGCTGCCCATTGGTGCATAAGAATCGTGGGAGAGGCCCGTGGGATTAGTCTTCCCCGCTCTCCGTGATGAGCCGTGGTCTGCATATGTGTTGCTGTGGATTTCTTGTCTTGTGCACTATTGCGGCGTGCGCCTGTGCAGTCGTCTTGTTTCTAAGTGGCACTGTGCTTAGTATGTGTTGCCCGGTCGATCAAAGCTTGTAAAAGACAGACCGTAGAAGTCAGTAAATCAGGTTGAAAGCTTCCCAAAAGGGTGGTGCTTCCCTGAAAATCATGCACGGCAGCCCTGACAGAAGGGAGTGGCTCGGCGATTGGAGCTCCGCCGAGTCCTACGGCCCATCCCCACAGCGGGATCCCTGGCCGCGGGCGGCTAGTAGTCACCAGGCGAACGCCCCCTCCACCACGCGCAAATCCTCCTCCTCCTCCTGCTCCTCCTCCTCCTCCTCCTCATCATCATCATCATCATCATCCATTTTTTTCCTCCTCCTCCTCCCCCTCCTCCTCCTCCTCCCCCTTCGCCTCCTCCATCCTGCTCCTCCTCCTGCTCCTTTCCTATTTTCCTCCCTCCCAGACGTCGCTTCGGCGATTCAGTGGGCCCTTTTTCGTGGCGACCTCGTCTTGTAGCAGGGGCGGGCTGGACACGAAACGAGGATAGAAAAACAATGGAAACCCATCGAAGACGACAATCATTGTTTTGGTCGGGCTTTGCGAGACGACGAGGGTGAAGTCCGGCCCGTCACTCTACAGGAGGAATATCAAACATAGCCAACACAATAGTTTCGGGACTAGTTCTCGAGTGTTGTTTACCACTTTGGATTTTTTTGTATTCTTTATTTAGTCGCTTCGCTCATTCCGCCGGCCCTGGAGCCCTCTTTAGGGCTTCTTGGGGACCTCTTGGGAGTCTCTTGGGGCTCCTTGGCGGCGTCTTGGGGGCCCCCAGGGCCTCTTGGGGGGCTCTTGTGGGCTTCGTGGGGCGGGAGAGGGGGTAGTCAATTGCGGCTTCCCCCTCGGAGGCCACGATCCTCGTGAGGGGTTTCGAACAATTGCCTGGTCCGGGGTCTCCTCCCGAGACTTGCCTGGGGTACTTTTCGCCCATGGACCTCCTCCCTCTCCTACATATTGCAGTGGTGGTGGGAAATGGGCCCACCATGGGGAAGGGGCCGAGATCCGGGGCTCAAGAGACGGGGGGCTGTGCACACGGGGGTCAGTCAGAGCGCCGCTTCTTGCAGGATCCTGCGGGGCCAGGGGTGCACTGACGGGGGTGAGGGTGCAGCAGCCTGCAGGGTCCTGCAGGATTCTGCCAGATCCTGCAGAGCCCGACCGACCCGGGTCTGGATGGGCCCGGGTCAGTGCGCCCCCGAGAGACTTCCGGGGGTCCATTCAGCGGCGCGTCGGAGTGGTCCTCTGCCAGAGTGGCCTCTCCGGTGCTGGCCCAGTGCGATGCGACGTTTGTGGCGTCTTGCGCGTTGGGGTGTGGGGCCCCCCGCGGCCTCCCAGCGAGCCGCGCACGAGGGCTCACTCTCGGCCGGGGCCCCTCTTGCGTGCAGCCGGTCCGCATTGCGAGAAGATGATGACGCCGCGGAGTTGTGCACCTTTATAAAAGAGGGGGCAGGTTCAGGGAGGTGCGCACGACGATGACGGGGGTTTTTGGACGTCTCGTCAGTTACAGTCAGCCCGCGCAGGAAGGATGGGCAACCTTCCCAAGGGTACCCTGACAGCCTGACATCCTTGACTCCTCGGTCCATCCCTTGCCTTTTTCGCTGGCCGCGGCCTGCTTGAAAAGCTTCGAAATGGGCGTCCAAAGTCCTTGCGTCCTTTATCGCGCATCCTTTTGATACAGGCCGACTGTAGTTCCTGGAGGTTTTTCCAGCCTCTGGGTGCGTTCCAGCAGCGCTGCGCCTCGTCGAGAGCGTTCAAGGGCTGTCCGGATCGCCCCGGACGGCGGCTGGGGGCTCAAGGCGTGGCCCGAAGTACCAGACGACGAGGAGCAGGGCTGGACCTGGGCGCTGTTTTGCTGGACTTCGGCCGTGTTCTGTTTTCCATTTTGGCGGAGGGAACAGGAAAACAGGTGGAGCGAAACAACACGCAAACCGACAACAAGACGAAACACAACGCTTAGGCCCGGCCGTGGCCCGAAACACCAGACGACGAGGATCATCGGGGGGGGGGAGGGGATGGGCTCAGGGGGTGCCGCCAGCAGGGGCCCGATAGCCCACCCCGCCGTGCGGCTTTGTGGCCGCGACATCGCAGACGCCTACGGCGAATCACCGCCGACTGGAGGGTTTCTTCGAAGGTCTTAGGCGACCCGTCCTCCTCCTCCTCCTTCTCCTCCTCCCTCTTCCCCCTCCATCTCCTCCTCCCCCTCCTCCATCTTCTCCTCCCCCTCCCCCTTCTCCACCTCGTCCTCCTCTTTGTCGTCCTCCTCCTTCTCCTCCTCCTCCTCCTCCTCCTCCTCCTCCTCCTCCTCTGGCAAGCTCCGGGGGCTCTCTCCGGTCCTCCCGGGAGCTTCCTGGGAGTCTCTCGGAGGCATCTTGGGGGCCTCCTTGGGCCTCTTGGGGGCCTCTGGGGGCTTCTCGGGGGCCTCTTTGGCTATCTTATCGCATTTCTGACACGTCTGACGCTGTCGGAGGCCGTCGTGGGGGCCTCTTTGGGCCGACTTGGGGCCTTAATGGAGTGCTCCGCCTCTGGGGCCGTCTTTGGGCCTCCGGGGCCATCTTGGATCGTCGGAAGCCCGAGAACGCGAGAACTCGAACAAGATCGAAACACACACACACACACATTCACACACACACACACATTCACACACACACACGCACGCGCACGCGCACGCGCACACGCACGCGCACGCGCACGCGCACGCGCACGCGCACGCGCACGCGCACGCGCACGCGCACGCGCACGCGCACGCGCACGCGCACGCGCACGCGCACGCGCACGCGCACGCGCACGCGCACGCACACGCACACGCACACGCACACGCACACGCACACGCACACGCACACGCACACGCACACGCACACGCACGCGCACACGCACACGTACACGCACACGCACACGGCACACGCACACGCACACGCACACGCACACGCACACGCGCACGCGCACGCGCACGCGCACGCGCACGCGCATGTGCGCACGCACGCGCATGCGCGCCCCTGCACGCGCACGCGCACGTGCAAGCGCACGCGCACGCGCACGCGCATGTGCACACGCTTACACACGCACACACGCACACACGCACAGACGCACACACCCACACACCCACACACCCACACACCCACACACGCACACACGCACACGCGCACACACGCACACACGCACACACGCACACACACACACACAGTCAAAATCAATGACTCTTGCCTCTTTGGGCCCTCTTGGGGGTCCTTGAGCGCTCTCTGGGCTTATTTGGGGCATCTCGGGCAGTCCTGGGGCCATCTTGGGCGCCTTGGAGCGCTCCAGGGCTGTCTTGGAGGCCTCCTGGACCCTCTTGGACGCCTTCCGGAGCCCGAGCCCTCGTGGCCCGTCGGGGGGGCCATCTGGCTTCTGGAGAGGTCCTGCGGGAGCGCCCGGGGTGCGGAGGAGCTCACCACCTACCAAACCACCCCAACCCAACCCGAAGGCCTCAGTGGGGGGGGGGGGGGTCGGGGAACATAGAAAAAGACACGCATGGAACCCATAATTACCCCCCCCAACCCGAAATTCGAGGCTTCGGGTTGGGTTGGGGTGGTCTGGTAGGTAGTCAGGAGCGGGGCGGCGAGAGCTTCCTCGCCCTTCGTCCCCAGGGAGCCATCGGGGGGGGGGTCGGCACGCCGCAGTCGGAAGCGGGTCTGCGTGTTTCTCCTTTTGTCCCGGAGGTTGATCGACCACCTAGCCTGAAGCACGTCGATTCGCGAATGGGCCGTGTTCGGTTCGCGAGGGGGCGGCACGGCCGTGATTGTTGCGGGTCCAGATCCGTCGGCTGCGGTCCCAGGTCGTTCTCACTGAAGGGAGGTTTACTAAAAGGGAGGTCCGTCCACCGACGATTGTCGTCGTTTGAGAGTCCGGTGCTCCTTCAAAGACAGCTAGCCGGTGGGCTCCCCACGGCGGCGGGGCATGGATATTTTGTCCTGCTCCCCTGGCACAGGGTCGGGTCAAGACGGGGGCCGAAGAGAGCACGACTGCGGATGTTTTGTGTCGGAGTGGCCGCGCCCCTTCTGTCCCCCCCCCTCTTTGTTAATTCGAGCTTCGCGCGGCCCGCTCAGCTTCGCCCGGAAGAGGTGCGCTCTCGACCCGCGGATCAAAAAAAAGGTTTTGTGTCGGAGACATCCGGCGGCCCCACGGCATGGTGTTGTTCGCGACGGACGTGGCTCCACAGAGGTCTGAACGAGCGTCTTCTCGGTGCGCGACCGCGCCCCTACAGTTCCCCCCCGGGGGGACGGGGGGGGGCCTCTTCCCTCGAAAGGTCAGGTTGGGTGTGGGGGGGGTCCAACCCCACCCCCCCTCGGGTTTGGAGCGCGACGACAACAATGGGGACGACGAAAACGGGGAGCTCGAGCAGGAGCAGGGGGACTATATATATATATATATATATATATATGTATCATGAAGGTGATGGTCAAGGTGGACATGTTCCATTTAGTCATCGATGGTGCTGGATCTTGGAGCGTATCGAAGACGCCTACGGCGAATCACCGCCGCCCCCTGCCTTTTTGGAAACGCCGATGTGGCCGAAAGTTGGACTAGAGCTTGGCCAAGCTATCGGACCATGAGTTCCCCGAGTCGGTTTGGAAAGCTTTCGGGGAACACATGGGAGAGAATGATTATGAACAGGAAGAGGAAGAGGAAGAAATAGAGTAGGAGGATGAGGGTTGTTAGGAGTCTCTTGGGGCACCCTTGGGGTCTGTTGGGGGCTTCTTGGGGGCCTCTTCGAGGCCTCTTGGAGGCATCTTGGGGGCCTCCTTGGGCTTCTTGGAGGCCTCTTGGGCCGTCTTGGGGCGCTCTTGGGGCCGTCTTGGGGGGCCCTTGGGCCGTCATAGGGCCTTCTTGGAGGCCTCTTGGGCGATCTTGGGGGCCTCTTGGGCCGTCGGAAGGCCGAAAAGAAGAAAACGCAAAAAGCCTTCAAAAACCCAAGGAAAACCAATGATTTTGGCCTCTTCGGGCTCTCCTGGAGAACGTCTTGGAGGCCTCTTGGGCCATCTTGGAGGCATCTTGGGGCCATCTTGGCCGTCTTGGAGGGCATCTTGGGCCGTCTTGGAGGCATCTTGGAGCCATCTTACCCGTCTTGGAGGCCATCTTGGCCGTCTGGGAGGCATCTTGGAGGCCATCTTGGGCCATCTTGGCCGTCTTGGAGGCCATCTTGGGCCAAGTTGGGGCAACAAAGGCATTGACAGACGGATTTTGGGAAAATTACAGGTGGCCGGCGGGACGGGCCGAAGCCCACTGGGGAGTTCTTTTAGAAAAAGAACCAAAACCAAAACCTGAAACATCCAGCACGCCGTGCACCCCTGCAAGCAGGGGGCGACGGATCCAGTGGCCGTCGGCCTATCGGGCCACCGTGCGTGCCCTCTTGGCTCGTGGTGGGGCCCAGCATTGCTCCGCAAGAGTCATGCGGCAAACCGCGCACAGCTGTGCAACGCCTCGGGAGAGTTGGCAATGTGGGCTCCGGGCCCCTCAGAGACGCCTCAGGAGTGAGGATTGAGGCTCCGAGGATTGAGCAGAGGACCTGAGGACACGGCCACTCCGTGCCCAGCGTCACGTTGGCGGATACATTACGAGCGGGGCCGGACGGGCAGGAGGAGAAACAGCCGGACGAGCGGAGCACTGGCGGCAGGAGCAAGCGAGGGGAGGAATCGGGAGGGGGAGGCAGGAGGGCGGCGGAAGGAGCAAGGGGCAGGAGGGTGGAGGCGGGGCGGAGGGTGGGGTCGAAGAAGAAAACACGGCATGAACATAATTTCGGTAGGTTCATGCGGCGATGACGCGCCAGCGATGCCAGCGAAGGCGTTCCAGGGTGGGTTCCGCATGCTGGAGCGACGCGGACGCGCCGAAGTGCACGGTAACGCCACAGGTAACCCGACTGAATTCAACCTTGAACGATCCTGGCCGCGATCGATTCAAGGTTGAGCGATCGTTGCGGTGTCACAAGCTTTTTTGCGCGCGCCGTCGCCGCACGAGCCTACCGTACATTCTCGACGGTCCGTGCGGATTTCTGGGATCGGTACGGGAGCCCCCTGGCGGCGCCTCCGGTGCCGCCCCTGGCGCGCTCCACGCTCCAGGGAAGCGGTTCAGCGCAGATTCGCGCGCACCTTCAACAGCTAATGTTTTCAGTGGAAACTACGACACGATAACATCCTTCAAGAGCATGATACCCTCCGCCGCCCAAAGCACACAGGACTTCCAAGGGTAGCCTCCCCAGGATGCAGAAGAGCGTCCAGCAAAGATTCAGGAGGGAAAGAAACACACAGACACAATTCATCCTCGATTCCCCAGAAAGTATGGGAAACTGTGGGAAGTGGGGGGGAAGACAGAAACCCAGAACATATGCGAAACTATGGGGAATCTTTGTCTTTGTGTGTACTTATGTGTGTGTGTGTGTGTGTGTGTGTGTGTCCCAAGGCCCCTTCAAACATGAAGAGCATGTGGGTACTCCAGATTTCGTAATAAAGGAAGGGGGGTCTCATTTCGGGGGGGGTCTCTTCCAGGCTATCTTGGAGGGCCTGGGGGGGTCTGGGGACGATGTTTTGGAGGGCTCTCCCACAGGGGGGGTCTAAAACTTCTCGTCTGGGAGGGTTGAGACCCCCTCCCTTTTATTACGAAATCTGGAGTACCCTCCTCGAGCCGATCTCGATCTTGTGCCTCGGCCCAGCGGTGCACCGCTTCTCCGACCTCCGGGGGGGGGCGGCCGGGGCCACCGCGCGGGCGCGGAGCTCGTCGCGCGTAGGCCCCCCTGGGGCGCTCTCGGAGCGAGACGCGAGACCCTCGATCCTGTGCCGCGGGCGGGGCGGCCGGCGCGAGCGCGCGAGGAGAATCGCGCGTCGCGCCCTGCGGAGCGCGGGGCGCGGCGATGGTGGGCCTATCGAAATGCCGGGAGGGTCGGCCCTAGGAGGGTTGGGCGCTGCGTAATGGGGGGATCGTAAATGGGGGGGCGGCGAGTGTGGTCCGAAAAGGTACCCAAATGGTACCTAAACGAGCCCCCTGGGGCTCTGGAGGGGCACGAAAGGGGACCTTTTCTGACCCCCCCCAATTTTGTGACCCCCCCATTAAGCCACGCCCAGGAGGGAGGGGCGTCGGCCGCGCGCGGAGGAGGGGTGGGCGGAGGGGGGGAGGCTTCTCAGCAGGCACCCCCGGCCTCTTGCCGCAGAGGGCGCGGGCCGGGCCTGCAGACGTGAGGCCCGCGCCTGCTGCGAGGGGGCCTCCTTCGAAGGAGGCCTCCCCCCCTCCCCCCTCCTGTTGGCGCCGCCTGCGGCGCGCGCCGCCGAGGGTGAGAGGCCGCGGAGGGGCGCCCGGGTGACTGCCCTCCCCTTCTGCCCTCGTTGCCCCTTCTGCCCTCGTTGCCCCTCTGCCCTCGTTGTCCCCCGTCGTGGTCGCGATCCGCATGTTCCACCTCCTTGTATTCTTCTCATTGCCACCCTGACCATCACCCGCTCAGCACAAACGCACACGTCCCTCCCCTCTTTCCATCTTTTTGCCCCCTCACCCTGATTCAGACGGCTACCACGGCGAGGGATGATGTGTTCCCTGGTGGGTCGTTCCCACACGTAACCTCGAGTTCGTCTCACTCGCCGTTCATGGAACTCTTCGGCGCCTGCTTCTGAAGACGAACCAGCACGGACCTCTCGTTGAGACCATCCCGTGTTTGGCATTGGTTGGTTTAATGCAGTCATGTGTGGTTGCTGGAATTATTCAAGGGTGCGTGCGTTATGCTTGTAGTTCAGGCTACACTCATGGATTGATGTGTTGCCATTGGGATTTGATTATCCTTGCGGCCGCCAACCGAGGTCGCGTGCCCTGGGAGACTTCCATTACAAGGCCCGTGGAATTGCCTCACTTTTCTGATACAAGCCTAGATGTGTTTGGTGGAAGAAAGATGGAGCTAAAGTTGCCTGGCAAGTGAGGGACTGCTGGGCAGAATTCCGTTCACGTGGCCGAGGCTTACCTCTCCCTCGCTCCCTCGCAGGCCAGGAAAACGAGGATAAGCGGGAATTGGCGAGGACAACAGGCAGGGAGGGAGACGATCCGAGCAGCTGCACACGTAGTACCAGTAGTAGTCGTCGTAGTAGTAGTAGTAGTAGTAGTAGTAGTAGTAGTAGTAGTAGTAGTAGTAGTAGAGGTCGAGGTAGAGGTCGAGGTAGAGGTAGAGGTAGAGGTAGTAGCAGTAGTAGTAGTAGTAGTAGTAGTA